AAAAAAAAAAAAAAAAAAAAAAAATCTCAAATCTCACTTTGTATTTTAGTATTTGCTAAACTATCTAAATGCAAAAAAGGAAATCTGGTTTTCATCTATAAGTAGATGAAAAGCACAAAGACATGCAATTTCAGTCATTCTCTTTTAATGCTTCCTTTTAAGTCGACAAAGAAGCCTACCTCTTTCCAACACTGATGCCACTCAGAACCATGAGCTAAAGACAAAGAAAATGTGAACACTAGAGTAAATCTTGATCCATCCTTTCTACAGCTGATTAATTAGAAGCAATTCATAATGGAAGTCATTCTTCTCCAAAATTAATTTCACTGTTTGAAATTGAACTTTCTTCCATCATTCTCTGAAGTTTGCTTCCCTAAGGAAGCTTAATTGTGTGATTAATACCCTGGAGACACTGCCATCCCTTCAGGGAACCCTGGTCATGCTCAGGAAACAATAACCTTCATAAATGGCAGTACTTATTTCTAGCAGTTTTTAAAAATTATCAATGGAATCTGGCCAAGCATGGTGGCTCAACCTGTAATCCCAGCACTTTGGGAGGCTGAGGTTGGCGGATCACTTGAGGTCAGGAGTTTGAGACCAGTGTGGCCGACATGGTGAAACCCCAGCTCCACTAAAAATATAAAAATTAGCCAGGCATGGTGTGCATGCCTATAATCCCAGCTACTCAGACGGCTTAGGCAAGAGAATCGCTTACTCCAGCGGGGCCGGAGTTGCAGTGAGCCAAGATCACGCCACTGCACTCTAGCCTGGGTGACAAAGGAAACGAGATTGTCTCAAAAAAAAAAAAAAAATTACACATATAAAATGGAATCAGATGAACATCTAACATTCACCTGTCCCGAAGACTACGTGTCTTTGCTTGGATGATTCCCAAATCCCACAGCGCTGGGTTTTTCCGAGGATCGTTCATTTTATGTCCATATACTTCAATTGCCAATGCTCCTTCAGAAAGATGCTCGATAAAGTCTTCAGTGATGTTAACAGAAAACTCCTGAAACACAATAGCTAATTACAGAAGAGGAAACTCCTTCTGGTAATCTTAGGATTGTTTATACCAGACATCACATACTTAATTATATAAGGAAAAAAATTGAAAAAGGAATGTTTTAGTTATACGGAACTGTCAGCTAACACCCATGATGAATGCTTAGACGGCCTAAGGTTCTTGACTTTAAACATAACTATAAATCTGAATTTTTTAAAACTTTTCACCTCAGAAGTCTAGTATGTAACACCAGCATTGTATTGTGTTTTGTTAGCAGTATTTTGAGCGTTATTTTTAAAAGCATAATCGTACAAAGTGTTACAACGCTGGTCTATAATGTGTTGATATAAAAGTATGCAATAAGGTAGTGTGTTCAAAAACATTTTTCCCACTTTGTAGAAAGCTAACTATCTCTATGAGGAGGTAAGGGAAATACAGATCATTAGCACCAAAAAAAAAAAAAAAAGACTTGATTTGTAAAAATTCTCCCAGCCTGTCCATTTTTATAAGATAGCATTTTGCAATTAGGAATGAGCTCTATGGCAGTTTATTACAGAAACTACAGAATCTCCTATATCTGCTGGTGTCTCCTCTCTCTATCTTTAATGCACTCAAGTATTTGTTTTAAACGGATTAGAAAGAAATGTCTCTCTCGACAGAGATGAGCTGGATCAAATGTGGTGCAGGAGCAACATAGACTTGGGGACCCAACAGTCCACATTCAGCTGGTCACCAGCCACGGACAAACTGACGGGGAACTACTTTGGGCAAACTGACCTCTCTGAACTGTTTGTTTTCAGCTGGAAAAAAAAAATTGCACTATTGGCTGGGCATGGTGGCTCACGCCTGTAATCCCAGCACTTTGGGAGGACAAGGTGGGCAGATCACTTGAGGTCAGGAGTTCAAAACCAGTCTGACCAACATGGTGAAACCCCAACTCCACTAAAAATACAAAAAAAAAAAAAAAAAAAAATGTAGCCGGGCGTGGTGGGAGGCCTCTGTAATCCCAGCTACTTGGGAGGCTGAGGCAGGAGAATTGCTTCAACCTGGGAGGCAGAGGTTTCAGTGAGCCGACATTGTGCCACTGCACTCCAGCCTGGGTGACAGACCAAGACTCTGTCTCGAAACAAAAAATAAAACAACAACAACTGCAGTATCATCAAATACAACTGTGGTGAGGATCAAATGAAGAAGTAACAGACAGCTTCACAGAGCATTCGGTGCTCAACAAAGTTAGTTCTTCTCTGTTACCTATGTTCGCTTTCTCTAAAACAAAAGTTTCTTAACTGTTTTAGATAATTTCTCCAGTAATCTAATACAGGGCATAGATTTTCTTTGGAGAAGAATACGCACATATACATACATAGGTATTTGTTTCTCATGCAAAAGTGACCTTTGGGTTGTGGAGGAGTATAGATGCATTGACACTTTTTGCTCAATCCCCACATTCCACAGAAAGTGCTCCAAGACATATCGGCACAATTATTCAAAGAAGTAAGGTTCATTTTCTGCTTTGTTTTTACATGAGTGATCTAAATGCTGGCCTACTCTGGAAAACAAACTCACATTGCAGTGATCAAAGACAACCATGCAGTGCGGCTCCTTGCTCACGGGAGAGGAGGAGGTGTCCACTTCAGGAGCGACAATCACCGGCTCCTGTTGATCCCAGAAGCTGTATTTGCAGAACACAAAGTGGGACAGATGCTGTGGCAACCCAGTAGCTTGGAGGATTTTAACCTGAAGGAAAAAGAAGGCTGTGTGTTTTGAAATCCGAGGGTTGCAACAAGCACTCGGAGTCACAGTTGCAGGTTCCAGTTCCAGCTCTGTCACTAACTTAGGACTTATGATAGCCAGATCCCATTCAACCTGAGACTCGACTTTTGCATATGGAAAATTGTGGTAGCAATTACTGTATTTAGTGAGAGGATGGACACAGGGTTACAAGGACCCTGACTACAGAGGTAGACATTGTGAAGCATAAAAACATTTAAATGTCAGTTGCTCAGAATATAAGAATCGTCATCATCATCAATTCAGACAAAGACAGATGTCAAACGTCAGCACTCTGCAATGATGAACTTGGCTAATCACGGATATGCCACAGAACAGAACAAGATTGTCAAGTACAGTGAATGAAGAACAAAATCAGTGTACATGCCAATAAACAATAAATATCAAGGAAAGAGCGAAACATAGATTAGATGTTTTAAAGTATAAAAAGGAACAAGGTAGGCCGCGTATGGTGGCTCATGCCTGTAATCCCAGCACTTTGGGAGGCCAAGGCGGGTGGATCATGAGGTCAGGAGTTCGAGACCAACCTGGCCCACATAGGGAAACCCCATCTCTACTAAAAATATAAAAAGTAGCCAGGGGTGGTGGTGTATACCTGTAATTCTAGCTACTCAGGGGGCTGAGGCAGGAGAATCACTTGAACCTGGGAGGCAGAGGTTGCACTGAGCCGAGGTACCACTGCACTCCAGCCTGGGAGACAGAGACAGACTCTGTCTCACAAAAAAAAGGAAACAAGGTTCTCAACTGAAAGTGTTACACGCTACTACAGCATTGTCTGGGAGAGCTTAAAAGCATCAGAAATGTATAAACATCTGGGGGGAAAAGGAAGGGAAGTGAAGATGGTAAACGCTGATGATTTTCTGTGCCAATGTGTACAGAAAGCCTTCCTTATGCAGATTTGGGGGAAAGGGGTATCAAAGGAACCATGCTCTGAACCAGCGGGGCAGGGTGTGGTTGTAACAAAGTGCAACTGGAGATACTTGTCTAATCAGACCCAAAGGCCCCAGAAGAAATGCCTTTAACAGTTTCTAAGGCAGCCTGATATTCTTAATATTTCTTTTGGTGGGCAGCATTAGACTGATTTTTTGGGGGGAGTGTCTGAGACAGGGTCTTGTTGTGTTGCCCAGGCTGGAGTGCAGTGGCACAATCATGGCTAACTGCAGCCTCAATTTTAAGGATTAGAGTGATCCCCCAGCCTTGGCCTCCTGAGGAGCTGGGACTTCAGGTGTGTGCCACCATGCTCAGGTCATTTTTTTGTTTGTTTTTAGTAGAGATGAGGTCCCATTATGCAAACCAGGCTGGTCTCAAACTCCTGAGCTCAAGTGATCCTCCTGCCTCAGCCTCCCAAAATGCTGGGATTATAGACATGAGCCACCATGTGTGGCCTGGGTTGATTTTTAATTTGGAGTTTTTGTGATCAACTGTGATATTCTAAAACTTCTCCAACTATGAAGAAAACAAAATCCTGAAGTTAGTTAAGCCAAATTCTGACTTTATAACTGATTAAACCAATTTTCACATGACTCAGCATTAATCATAAATCCTATTTTTCACCTGGTCACTTTCTGCATGTTGTATGATTCAATCTACCTCCAGTAAGTACATTTAATGAAAATAAATCTGAATATACGGCATAAGAGTTCATGTAGTTCAGCAACCACAAACATAACCTTAACATTTCAGGCTGTAATCCAAGCACTTTGAGGCCAAGGTGGCAGGATCACTTGAGGTCAGGAGTTTGAGACCAGCCTGGCCAACATAGTGAAACTTCATCTCTAATAAAAATCTAAAAATTAGCTGGCTGTGGTGGTGCATGCCTGTAGTCCCAGCTACTTCTGGAGGCTGAGACATGAGAATTGCTTCAACCCAGGAGGCGGAGATTGCAGTGAGCTAAGACCACATCACTGCACTTCAGTCTGGGTGACAGAGACTGTGTCTCTACGCGCGCGCGCGCGCGCGCGCACACACACACACACACACACACACACACACACACACTCTTCAGGAAGCATTAATAATCACACACAAAATTACACAAACCAAGTTACTTTATTTTCTTCCATAGCAAACATATAATGGGTAAGCAATCAAACAGAAACTGCCATTATAATTCACCTTTTCTGTGACGTCAACAGGAGTTTGAAACACCTAGACAGCTACTTCCTGACAGGCTCTGAAACACAGCTTGGCTGACACCTTTTATTCCTTCAAACCAAAATGAGCAAACAGTACTCTGCTATTAATTTTTCATTAAGTTTTTAAAACCATCATTTTCTCATTAAGTGTTTTGAAATGTTTATATTATTTAAGGTAAGACAATATGGCATTTAAGAAGATTACAAGATGTTGGAGTTATATAAAACAAATACAATAAAAATCTTGTCCACTTATTAGCTCGTGTGCTGGCACAAATTACTTAGATTATTAGTTTTCTTAGGCTTAGTTTTCTCCTAGGTGAAATGGGAATATCAGTAGCTACCTTACTTTACAGGGGTAAGACGGATCACATCAGTGCAATATAATGAAATGAAAGAGAGCAGTAACAGGTATTGACTACATACATCTTCAACACATACTTCTTTGTAACTAAATTCCATCTGAAATCCTTTTTTTATTCGAAATTAATCACAATTTTAATGTTAAAATACACAAGAAACAAGATTTAATATGCTGAACTCTTGACTACAGGCAACCTCTCAGGAATGAGGCTGCCAGGAATGAAGTCTATCAGCCATAAGGAATGCCAAGGTATCTAGAACACAGGCTGTTTGGGTTTTGTGGGGTTTCTAAAAAAGTTTTTGCACACAAAAACTAAAACCGCCACAAGGTGTCAGAATACCACAGCTTCAATGTGCAGCTGTTAAGACAGCTCAGGAATGTTCCAGGGTTTTAAATACACTAACCTCACTTATTATCACCGAAAACACGAAGATGTCAATATGTGCATATAGCCTTGTTACAAAAAACAAATCCAGACTTCTTTGGGGGCTAGTTAACATCACACCAGAAAGCAAGAAAGCTATCACAGTCCAGGAAGCTCAGCATTATGACAACAGGAATCACGGGCCAACTGAAGCAGCTCCCACTAGCCAAAGATGGGAACATCTGTGCTTAAATACAGGTAGTGAATCCAACAGACAGATGCACCCCAAATATGGTTAAGTCTGAGAGCTCATAATGATGCTGTTAAGATTAAGGACAAAAAACCTCACTGGTCACATTTTGGAAAACCAATTCATTACTTTAAAAATTAGGCTGGATGTGGCTCACACCTGTAATCCCAGCACTTCAAGAGGCCGATGCAGGTGGATCACTTGAGGCCAGGAGTTCAAGACCAGCCTGGCCAACAAGGCAAAACCCCCATCTCTACTAAAAATACAAAAATTAGCTGGGCATGGTGACATAGCTACTTGCGAGGCTGAGGCGGGAGAATCACTTGAACCTGGGATGCAGAGGCTGCAGTGAGCCGAAATCACACCACTGCCCTCCAGCCTGGGTGACAGTGAGACTCTTTCTCACAAATAAAATAAATAGATAAAATCTGTAAATAAAGGGAGAGCATTTATCCTTCCTTTTTTACACAAACTATCACTGTATAGCAAAGTAGTTGGTAATAGGAAGACTTTTTCTCTGGAGTAAAATGAAATGACAATAGAATTATAGTACCATCCTTTTGTAACTCCTAACAAAATAATGCACCTTGGTAATAATCATCCACGGCTGATCATCCCCTAAACACAAACAACCAGATAAGATGTGGCCCCTGATGGAAGAACACAGGCCACCACTGACCAAGCCCCTTGGCTGCCTCCCTCCCCCAGGAAACACCTTTATATCTAACTACCAATTTTCAGCAAACGCGTCTTAATGTGCTAGGCAACACCAATGGGCAGAAGTCAGACTATGGGAAACTGCAACAACCCAGTTTCTACAATACGTAATTGCAGGTTTGGTGAGAGAGGCAAAGAGAGTGAGCAAGCAAGTGAGAGAGCGTGAGTGTACCAGACTGAAACTGACGCGAGACACACGCCAACCAAGGCAATTAAGGAAACTGACGATTTTACGATAGAAATAAATTGTTAATTTTTGACAAATTATTAATTTTGACAATTATGGTTATATTGGCTTAAGGACTCATCTTTTGGAGACACACTGAACTATCTGCAGGTAAGATACAACGCTGGGGTGCCTAGGATGCTAGTGGAGGGGGCGGCATGGAAGCAGCTGAGCGTATGAAAGAAACAAGGTTGACCACAGGTGATAACTGTGGAGCAAGGGTGAATGGGCCTCAGTAACACCTTTCTCACTACTTTTAGATATGTCTGATATCTTCCGTTAGTAAAAACAAGGTTTTTAACCTCATTTAAAGCAGCCCATATTTCTCAGGTTATACGACTTTTTTTGGTAATAAGAATACGTTTTCCAAGTGCGAAGTGCTCTTATATGTTCTTTAACAGCAGAAAGTGATATTTGAGCTGCATTTGGTAGTCCATCATCTTCAAAATGGACCATCGTGGGGTCATCAAGCCTAAGTCTCCATCTCTGATCATCTTATGACACAAAGGAGCTGCTCCGAAATCAAGTACAATACAAGAAATATGACCTTTCAGTGAATCAAGATTCCTCCCCCTCCTAGTGAAGTAACTGAAATGCCGGAAGCCCTCTCCATATGTGCGAAGACTTGCAGAAAGTGGCCTGACTCCAACAGCTCCAGCTTCCCGCTACCTTGTGGCTAACATCCAACTTACCGCCTTCAACATCAGCTTTGATTCTAGAAATGTTTACTGGGAGAGAGGACTGGCTCTAGGATGGGCTATGAATTAAGAGTCAGGTGTAGGCTTCCTTCACTTAACCTGGCCTCCTTCTCACTGCACCTATGCCCCTTGGTGACTTCCTGCCTGCCAGCCCCTTCTTTTTATAATAAGTGATTCCTGCAGGGATTCTCAGCCACCGGCAGGTCTGGACCACTAGCAAGTGTTTGGAAATGACACAGGGGATTTTTCACCATCATGAGTGGGGGAGGCTCTGCTCTACTTTCAAAATGTGACAAGGAACATAATACTTACTATCTAAAGACCCAGGCCTCAAAATCAGCCCCATTTGAACTCTGAGGTTAGTGCAAAAGTCAACGTGATTTCTGCTGTTAAAAGTAATGGCACTGACTTTTGTATCAAACTAATACTAGGATGAAGCTGGGACTTACCATGCACACCAGTTTGTTTTCCTGGGTCTCCTTCTCAAAGGAGACCTCGGCAGCCTCGTCGCCTCCTGCAATCCTTTCCCCAACATCCCCGCTGATGCGCGTCACCTCCACGTGCAGCCGACCTGCCACCTGCAGCAACGGGGGAGGCAGAGACATTTCTCCAGATTTGGTTGCTGCTCCCTTGAGATGACCTCTCTTCTCTTTTAGAGTCAAGTCGTCAGGTTAATGGTGTGTGGGGAATTCAGAGGCCTGGTTTCTGACAGTTACTCTGCCCTCAGAGTCGTTGGAAACACATACACATTAACTGTCCTTACTGACAAAAAATAGCAACAACACCCCATCACCACCCTCTTGTTTCTTAAACTGTTCTCTACAGGAAACAAGGCATGAAGGAAAACCAACCAACCTCTCCCTTCTGGTTGATGATGGGAACAGCGTACTGTAACTTTGCATCATAGAAAAGGGACTCGAGGAAGACATTGGCCACCCCAATGAGACTGTGATTTTCCTGCTCATCATAGAATGGATCCGCACGTTTGAAGTACGATCGTATTACCTGCAAAGAGATTAAGAATATATAACTTCAGAAAAATCACTTACAATACATGCATTCAGCCTACTGCTTTTTCATGCACTTAGGTCATGAAGCTGAACTTTCATCATCCTGACGCTTGTACTTTTTAGAGTAAAATACTCTAAAGTGTTTGCTTAAGTACAGCACTGTATTACTCCCTCACACTCTCTTCCTCATTCCCATTCACAATGGAGGTCAGCATCCTCCACCGATGTCAGAGTGATCTCAATAACAGGTTATTACTTTTAGCAATTATTCTCCTTTACATGGAAATCTTGCCGCAAAATAAACAAACAATGTATGTTGAACAGAAAAAGAAGTAGAGTGTGCAAAACTACGCTTCACTTTTCTTGCGGGTAAGACACTAATTCATATCTGCTCTGCTTGTTCCTAGGAAGTCATTAGATACACTACTGCTAATAAAAGGTGGGCCCTCATGCCTATAATCTCAGCACTTGGGGAGGCCAAGGCGGGAGGGTCACCTGAAGTCAGGAGTTCGAGGCCAGCATTGTCAACATGGTAAAACTTTGTCTGTATGAAAAATACAAAAATTAGCCGGGCACAGTGGCCGGCACTTGTAATCCCAGCTACTTGGTAGGCTGAGGCAGGACAATCACTTGTACCCAGGAGGAGGAGTTTGCAGTGAGCTGAGATCATGCCACTACACTCCAGCCTGGGCAACAGAGATAGACACTGTCTCAAAAAAAAAAAAAAGAAAGAAAGAAAGAAAGAAAAAAGAAAAGAAACTTGAGCCCTCATGGGAGTGGCTTTTTTGTATTTGTTATTGTTGTTTTACTTCTAAGTTGAAACAGGAGAGGGGTACCAAAGAGACAAACATTTTTTAAGCAAAAACATCACCAAAGTAACATTTTCATTGATGACAATCTGGAAAAACCATTTTTAGAAAACAAAAGGCAAAAGAAGTAAAAAACTCTATGCGAAAACAGGCCTAAAGGTAATGAAAAAATGTTCAGACATATGTAACATGCATTTCTGTTTTAAATATATATGAGTACACGTCCATCCTAAATGAGAAAGCCTGCAAGGTGATGACAGAGTGCCAGTGTATAGATCTATGATCGAAAGTTCTTCAAAAATGTTCCTCCTAGTGTAAATATTAAGATATCACTGATGTTCAACTTACAAAACATATACTGTAGGTTTATTATCTGCAAGGTTAAACGGGTTGAGCAATGGGAGGAGAGACAAATAATGAGGCCTGGCCTCTATCCTAAAGAGGTTCCCAGAGGGCACAGGAGACACACACCCGCACACCAACAGAAGTCAGAATGGAAAGTGAAGAATTCTGCTAGAAATCTAAAAGACAGAAATGAGAAGAAAAAAGAAGACAGCAGAAAGAGAGATTATTAAAATAGTTAATTTGCTAAACAATTTAGGGGATTAAAATCAACCTTACCCCAGAAATAGGATTGTAATTTGGGGAAAGGGACCATTTTCCCCTGAAATGGGTAGGCGCATTCCAGCTTGGTTCCTCCTACCATTACCACTTAAGTGATTTTCTCTTAAGAACTTACTGGGTTATCTTCTTCGCACTCTTTCCACTCCTGATAAAGGTCTCTCATATCCAACAGCCTGTTGTCAAGTTTTTCCAAAGACCAAATCTGCTTTCCTTTTCCTTTTCTCCTCACCTGGATTGCAGGCTCACTAAGAAGAGAGCCTCGCTGAAAAGAGAGTAAGAATGACTGTGAGAAACACACCGACAGACAGCAGGGAAGTCAAAGCTGCAAATTCCACCCCATCCGTCAAATGTCAAAACTCAAACGGCAACCATCCTTTAATCTGTTGATTACAAAGCTTCCCAAAAGTCTTACGAGCTATTACATAATGCCTTCATACCCAAGTGCAATTTATAAACTTCAGTTTAAGTATAAACTCAACATTAAAAAATTTTTGTGGAGGGCGGCTGGGCATGGTGGTTCATGCCTGTAATCCCAGCACTTTGGGAGGCCAAGGCAGGTAGATCACTTGAGGTCAGGAGTTCAAGACCGGTCTGGCCAACATGGTGAAACCCCGTTTTCTATTAAAAATACAAAAACTAGCCAGGTGTGGTGGCACCTGTAATGCCAGCTATTCAGGAAACTAAGGCATGAGAATAGCTTGAATCCAAGAGGCAGAAGCTGCAGTGACTGAAACCCTCACCACTGCACTCCAGCCTGGGTTGCTGAGTGAGACTCTCAAAAATACGTAAATAAATAAGGGGTGTGTGTGTGTGTGTGTGTAGAGACACACACACAGAAAGAGAGAGAGAAGTTTCTAAAGAGACAGCACCTCACCCTGTCACCCAGGCTGGAGTGCAGTGGCATTTCATAGCTCACTGCAGCCATGAACTCCTGGGCTCCAGAGACCCTCCTGCCTCAGCCTCCCAAGTAATTAGGACCACAGGTGCATGCCACTACACCCAGCTAATTTTGCTTTTTTTTTTTTTTTTTTTTTTTTTTGCAGAGGCAGTTTTTTCTATATGGCCAAGGCTGGTCTGGAACTCCTGGCCTCAAGTGATCCTCCTGCCTCAGCCTCCCAAGATGCAGGATGATAAGCATGAGCCACCATATCCAGCCACATTTAAATTCTGACTGCAGATGGATATGATTAAGTTTAAAACACAAAAGGAAGTTGTCTTTAAAACTTCCACATTTAACAGGAAGTTGAAATAAACATGTTCTATTCAGGGCACCATATGGCCACAGTGTATCAATGGGGAAAGAGTCATAGCATCAAATGGCAAGGGGAAGTTTGCTGTTCATGGGGGAAGAAATGTCCCTTTAACTCTCAAGAGTGTGAATTATGGTTTAGTGGATGGTATCTCCATGAGGTATAAAATGTGAAACAGTTAAAAGAGTCAACTGAAAAGTGCTCCATTTACCCATGTGGAAACAACAAATGATACCAGTTTCCAAATACGCATTGTTTGGGTTTCTTATTAAGATCATACGAAACTAGACGGAGGCGGTGCTCACACCATATTGTGACCATGCCAAATGCCACTGAGTTGTTGACTTTAAAATAATAATGATCTGTTATGCAAATTTCACCCCATCCAAAAAAGTATGCTCTGAAGTTTTTCCAGCTTATAAGAGCAATGCGGACTTTTTTCAGAGCACAAGAACTTGTGCAATGCATTTTCAAGGGAGAAGAAAATCTAGAACTTTTAAAAACCACAAAGTTTAAAAAAAAAAAAAAAAAAAAAGCCCTTATACATTTCCCCCAGAGTGACATATGTACTGGTTATCTAATCAATTTAGGTTTACTGGCTTAATTTTTCAACTGTTCTACTTAGAACTTAAGGGAACTATGAAATACATTGATGTTTCATTAGCATCTTGCCTACAATCATTTTTCTAAGAAACAAAATTTAAATAATAAAACAAACATTTGAAAATTCTTACAGTCTAAATGTGGTTTTGTCACTTTTTTTGTTGTTGTTTTAATTGAGATGGAGTTTCTTTCTGTCGCCCAGGCTGGGGTGCGGTGGCCTGATCTCGGCTCACTGCAACCTCCACCTCCCGGGTTCAAGCGATTCTCTTGCCTCAGTCTTCTGAGCAGCTGGGATTACAGGTGCCCGCCATCACACCTGGCTAATTTTTTTTTTTTTTTTTTTTTGAGACAGAGTTTCACTCTTGTTACCCAGGCTGGAGTGCAATGGCGTGATCTCGGCTCACCGCAACCTCCGCCTCCTGGGTTCAGGCAATTCTCCTGCCTCAGCCTCCTGAGTAGCTGGGATTACAGGCACGCGCCACCATGCCCAGCTAATTTTTTGTAGTTTTAGTAGAGACGGAGTTTCAGCATGTTGACCATGATGGTCTCGATCTCTTGACCTCGTGATCCACCCGCCTCGGCCTCCCAAAGTGCTGGGATTACAGGCGTGAGCCACCGCGCCCGGCGCTAATTTTTATATTTTTAGTAGACACAGGGTTTCATCACGTTGGCTAGGCTGGTCTCAAACTCCTGACCACAAGTGATCCGTCCACCGTGGCCTCCCAAGGTGCTGGGATTACAGGCGTGAGCCACCAGCCCGGCCATCTTATAGTCAAAATTAAGGGCCCTCCTGCCTTATATTCAGCCAGCCAGTGAATAAACACAAAACTCCCATTTGTGACCTGTGCGGGTAGTGGCTTTTCTCGGGGAGAATGCTGGACCTGGGACTAAACAGCAATGGGCATTACGATGCAGCTACCATAACTTGGCCCTCTTGCAAAATTAGAAAAAAGAAAAAAATAATCACCAGAGAGAGTGTTCACAGAACGGACAGGACATATAAATATATAACAGTTTTCAAATACCAAAAAACAGTCTTTGTTGCATTAAAGACTGCAGACTCAGCTTAATGAAGGAGACTATCTCCTAGGAAATGCCTCCTTGTCCAGCTCCTCTCTCGGGCTGACATCTAAAAATACCAATCTATTTAAATCAATACTAACAGACAATTAGTAGGTGTCTGTTAAAAATGGCTCCTTCACTTCAGCAGTGGAGTCACCTCTACCAGCAAAAGACACAGCCCCAGTGAACGCAGCACTAGATGGAGGGCAGGAGAGAGAAGCCAAGTGACATGAGTTACTTGTGGTTGTTGACACGGCTGCCCCAACGCAGAACCACACCTTTCAACAAAGCCCAGAACAGGTTACAGAGAAAAGGGCTGCAGTCACGCTTAATGGAGAAAAAATGTTCACGTTTCTGCTTTTCTCAACTCGTACACCAGAGAATGAAACATGACCTTGAGCTTCTCAGCCTTCAAGAAGAAACTAGGTCCCGAACCTTCTGCTTGTGACTGGCCTTCCTCTTCTGTTTTTTCATGAGTCCTGCTGTACCTAGACTTTGCCCTAAAAATACTATTAAGTTCTAATTAAGTAAAATCTTTCAAAATACAGAGTATACAAAAACAATGATCTATAAAGTAACGATCATATCCTACTTGTAATATCTTTCTCAAAACACTAAGAATCATATTTGCCAAATATCTACTGTGTACAAAACGCTGACCTCAACGCTATGACATCATAGGGAAAGAAAGATGTAATCCTTGCTAGCAAATTAGAATATCCACCTGTAATCCCACCACTTTGGAAGGCCAAGGCAGGTCGATCACTTGAAGTCAGGAGTTTGAGACCAGCGTGGCCAACATGGAGAAAATACTAAAAATATATCTCTACTAAAAATACAAAATTTAGCTGGGTATGGCGGTGCACACCTGCAATCCCGGATACTCAGGAGGCTGAGGCAGAAGCAGCACTTGAACCCAGGAGGCAGAGGTTACAGTGAACCAAGATCACACCACTGCATTCCAGTCTGGGTGACAGAGAAAGACTCCATCTTCAAAAATAAAAAAATAATAGAATATCCATGATGAATTGATTGACTACAGTAGGACAAACAGAACACATGGACCCACAAGAAATTCATCTGAATAGGAAATTCTACCTAATCCATCAAACATCATGTATGAACATGATCAAGACCTAGGAAAGAACCTCAAAAAAAGAAGGAAAAAAAAACTGAACAGCAAAGATAGAAGACTGCGATGGGACTTTCCCCCTACATTTTATTAAACTTATTATATCAAAAAAATGTGATCCTGAATATATACATGACACAACTAATGAAGAGTTTTACAGAGCAAGCTATTCGAAGGAGAAAATAACATAAGCAAAATGAACACCTAACTTGGGGGAAGTGGGTATAGAACATAAGGAAGGAAAAAAAGACACTTGGGGAAGATTAATCAGTAAAGACTTCTAAGAAAGAACTGAAACAATCTTGCATGTTCTTCACATGTACCCCAAAACCTAAAATGCAATAAAATAAATAAATGGGAAAAAAAAAAAAAAAGAATTGAAACAGACTTGAAGAAAGCAAGCTGAGTGAAATGAACTGTCAGGGCCAGGTGAGATGGCGAGTATATTCCCCTAGCGGATAAAATATACATACACTCCAAGGCAGAGAATGAAGAGGAAGTCAATTCTACTCAAAAGCGAGGAGGACAAAGGATCTAGACTTGGGGCGGGTATAGACAGGGATCTGAAGCTTCAGTAACACCAGAAAGCATCAGGCGATCTTATCCAATGAGATCTTAGTTTTTTTCAAGGAATGGCAACCTCACCTTCCTGTTGGCATCCAGGCTGGAGGCTGGAATCTGTAGCGTAACTTTGTATTCTGTCCTTTTATCCAGCTCCTCAGCAATGTAATTAGCTTCTCTCACCAATAGATTGGCCTTAACAATTTGTTCCCTCAGCCTCATCAGGCTGTTATTCAACGTTGCTTCTCTTAAAAAAATAAGGAGGGGTTGGAGGTAGGGAAGAGATAACACAAAGCAGCTCGTCAGAGAATCATACAGCCATAGTGCGTCGATGCCAAAGCGTGGGCCAAGCCTTCTCATGGTAGTCTGCACTCAGGGACTGTGTTGCTGACACTGACCCATGCACACACTACACGATGAGTGCTGGCACGCAGCCACACAGCAAGCTGGCTCTAGATAAGGGCAGTGCCCCACAAACCTGCCCATGCAGGCAAATCACCAGGGGATCTTCATCAACTCAAGATTTTGTCTCGGCAGGTCTGAGGTGGGGGTGAAATCCTACATTTCTATCAATCTCCAGGTGAAAGGGAAGCTGCCTGCAGATCAAACTTTAAACAGTAGGTGGTCTGCGACCATGGGATAAGGCATTTCAATGCAATGCTAATTAGCTCCAACAGAGGTCAAGCTTACAATCTTCCTCTTATGGGCACCATGCTTTACCTACCTGAGATACTCAGTTCAGATAACCAACTTGCTGTTTTTCTAAAAATCATCTACCCAAGCTTCCGAACGCAAAGCATAATGCAATGATAAAGTGTACTTCTGTATCCAAACCCAAAGGCTAGACAAACTGAAGGTGGAACAGCACCTAACATCAATAGTTTTAAATATGGCCTAATATAAATGGGCAATTCCCCTACTTTTCAAAAAAAGAAAAAAATGCAAAGTGGTTCTTGGCTGTAACACTTATCTTTTAATATAATTCTTTTGTAAGCACCGTCTCAATGTTCCCACTCGACACTTTCCCTAGGTGGGTTAGCGGTGGTGAGCCTGAGCTACACATGTAAGAAGCCCCTCTGTGCCGCCTACCTCTCTTCGGCCCACTGTCTTAAGCGTTGCTGAGCGCTGGGCGAGTGGAAAGAAAACCTGTCCATGCTCCGGGAGTTCTGCTTCTCGGGAGACAGTCTTCTCCGGAGCTGCTCCAATTCGTGCTCATACATAAGCCTCTGGCGCTCCAGTGCGGATCGTTTTTCTTCTTCGTGCTGTTGTTCTAGGCTGTTTAATATGGACTGCATTGGATCTAAACACGTTTTTTAAAGAGATAATAATGATTGAAAGGTACAACATAATGAACTTCAAATGTTGTTCTACATGGTAATGTTCGTCATCTTAACCATACCCTCTAATACCATTAAAGACAATTTGGCATAAACAGCTTTCCTTACTTCCAATCACTTACGTTGTTCTCTATTCTCAGTTAGACATATCCTCAACCATCTTCTCTGTAGAAAAAGCAGGTCTATCTTATGTTCTACACATAACCTAAGACATGGTGGATCCTCCATAAATATAATCATAAGCCAGTGGCAGGCAAGTTTCTAAACCAGAGAGATTTGGCCAGGCGCGGTGGCTCATGCCTGTTATCCCAGCATTTTGGGAAGCCAAGGCAGACGGATCACCTGAGGTCAGGAGTTTGAGACCAGCCTGGCCAACATGGCGAAACCCCGTCTCTACTGAAAATACAAAAGTTAGCCAGGAATGGTGGCATGCACGCTTGTCATCCCAGCTACTCAGGAGGCTGACGCAGGAGAATCAAGTCACTATAACCTGGGAGGTGGAAGTTGCAGGGTGCCGAGATCGTGCCACTGCACTGTAGCCTGGCCAACACAGTGAGACTCTGTCTCAAAAAATCAAAATAAAATAAAATAAACCAGAGAGATTCTGTCCATGAGAACAAAGCGATCTGATCGTATATTAAGGCAGAACATTTTGTTAAGTATAAATTAAAGCCAAAGACACAAAATAATACAGAGAAGCCACATAAAGATTTTCCTTTTTGTTAACATTTAAAATGTCTCAATCGTAAACATTTTTAACACTTTACCATCTCTTTTTTTTTCTTTTTTTTTTTTTTTTTTTTTAAAGACAGAAGATCTTGCTATGTTGCCCAGGCTGAAGAGCAGTGGGTTATTCACAGGCACAATCTCGGCTCACTGCAGCCCAGGAGTGATCTTGAACCTCAAACCAACTCTCAAGCACACACCCGACTTGCTCACCATTGCTGCCCAGGGCCTTCATGGTGACCTCCATCTGTGCGTATTCGTAATTGAAGTTAATTTCACTGGACACTTCGCTGGAGGAGTCTCCATCTACATCCAGCTGCTCAGAAGTGTTATCGTTTTTCATGGAGGGGTCCTGGTCCTCTTCCTCTCGTTCTGCTTTCTTTTTCTTTTTAGGCAAATTGAGTCTTGGAGGGGGAAAGAGTATTGTTTTCTGAAGTTAAGACAGGCACTTATTCATTTCATTCGTTAAGTACTGGTATCTGCTAGAAGCCAAGTGGATACCATGTAAGTACAAGGCAATTACGGCACTCAGGAAGTGGATAATCTAGTCGAAGAAATAAGACGTTCATGCGCCATCAAAAACATACAGCAGAAAGTGTGACACTAGGCCACATGCCTGTGACAAGTTCAGAGTTAAAGAAAAGCCAAGGACACTTTCAGAGCAAGGTGATGAAGGAAGGTGAGACAGGAGAAAATCAGTTGAACTGAGTATTCACAAATAAGGAGAAAGCAGGGTAGAGGGAACAGTCTGGGAAAAGACGTGAAAATGAAAACGTTCATATTCCCTGGAGAAACGGGACACACAAAATTTGTATAGCACACTAGAGATAAAGCTGGAAAGATCAACTTAGTGCAAACGATGAGGGTTTTGAACACAAAGCAAAGCAGTTTACACATCATTTAATTTGAGAAGGGAAAAAAGCTCGATGTTCTTTGTGCCTATCTACCCTTTTCTCGGTAACCAAAATATCCCTGGCCCACTGCAAAGGATCTCTATTAGCTACAGAAAAGTCAGTGTGACATCTGGAGCACACTGACCAGTGACAGTAAGAAGAGACCAGGATGTTACCTTTATATAGTATCCAGCCTGACTGCCTTGCCAACGCAACATCAGTTTTGTTTGGGAAACCGTTATGTACAGCCCCGGGTTAGACAGACTTTCTCAGCCCCCTTTGCAGCTAAGAGGCAAATTCTAGCAAAGGAGACAGAAGGAGAAGATTGCTGGGGACTTGGGAAGGCTTCTGCTTTTTCTGACGAAGACAGTCAGGGCTAGTGCAGCCATGCTTCTCCTTTTTCTTCCTGTACCTGAATGCTGCTTTGACGGCAGTGTAGCATGGCCAACTATAGGCCACAGAGAGATGCCAAGACAGTGACCAGACTTAAGCCATGACTTTTTTTTGAGAGGCTTAGCCAACACTAACAACTATGTTCCTTCAGATTTCCGGTTCTGTCAGGGAAACAAATGATCTGTCTAACCCATTACAGTAAAATTTGCCATGACTTACAGCTGAAAAGAATTCCTAAAAGAAATACCAACCTCATTTGATAGATAAGGAGATGAAAACCACAGCTACTTTTCAGTAAAAAATAAACAGAAAGATAAACATGTCAGAGAAACATGAATAAATTCTTACACTACATGGCAAAAGAATCATCTTCCACTGGGAAATAAAAGGGAAAAACTATGTAGGTAAACTCAGCATTTCTGCAAAGTGTATTGTTTACATGACCCCCGGGTTCAGACCATAGACAGTGAACGAACATACACATACATACGATACACATGCAGCAAATATACACGCACACACACAGTAAAACAACTGTAGAGCTGGGTTTACTTTTAATACGTATTTTCTATTTCAGAGCACAATCTTCAAAAATCTCCTTCTTTAAGAGACATGAACGACATCATACCTGAAGAAATGGTTGTTTCCCCATAATATCCTGTCCCCATGGTGTAGCTGTATTGGACTGGAGACAGACGACCCATTTACAAATGTTCTGTAAGGAGAAGAGACCAAATATGAATGATGAGTACAGTATCACGTCTTCTGCTTTAATTTTCCAGTAACACAGAGATGTAACTTCCTAGGGCAAACAACCATTCCCCCCAATACAACCTGTTCTTGGTGAATTTTAATCTTTGCATTCACTCCTTTGCTGACTGCCCTAAAACGTTTATGGTACAAAGCACAGGCACATCTCATTTTACTGTGCTTTCCTTTATTGTGCTTTGCAGATACTGTATTTTTCACAAATTGAAGGTTTGCGGCCATCCTATGTTGAGCAAGCCTATGGGAGACACTTTTCCTGAACAGCACCTGTTCACTTCACATATGTCACGGAGATCTGTGATTAGGGACCTCTGACAGCACCTCTCTAACTCTTCTGGGACATTGTGATCTGTACCCATGGACAATGGTAAACTTAATAAATGTAGTATGGGTTTGGACTCTCCCCCTCTCCTTGGGTCTCTATTCCCTGAAACACAACAATACTGAGTTAGGCTAATTAACAACTGTAATACCCTCTAACTGTTTAAGTGAAAGGGAGAGTCACACATCTCTCAAAAGGTGGAAATGATTAGGTTTAGTGAGGAATCACCTCAAAAACCAAGAAAGGACGAAAGCCAGGCCTCTTGTACCAACAGTTGGGCAAGTTGTGAGTGTACATGAAAAGTTCTTGAAGGAAATTAAAGGTGCTTCTCCAGTGAATACATGAATGGTAAGGCAGAACAGCCTTCCTGCTGACACAAAGTTCAGTGGTCTGGAGAGACAGTCAATCCAGCCACAATATGCCCTCAACCCAACCCTAATCCAGAGTGAGGTCCTAACTCTCTTTAATTCTATGAACTTAGAGAGATGAGAAGTAACAGAAGAAAAGCTGAAAGCTAACAGAGGTTGGCTCTTGAGGTTTCAGGCAAGATGCTATCTCCGTAACATAAAAGTACAAGATGAAGCAGCAAGTGCTGATGTAGAAGCTGCAGCAAGATCACGGATGAGATTTTCAACGTAGATGAAACAGACTTCTATCGGAAGAAGATGTCATCTAGAACTTCATTAGCTAGGAAAGAGAAGTCAATGCCTGGCTTCAAAGCTTCAATGGCAGGCTGACTCTCTTAGAGGCTAATGTAGCTGGTGACTTAAAGTTGATGCCAACACTTATTGACCACTCTATAAATCCTAGGGCCCTTAAGAATTATACTAAATCATCTCTGCCTGTGCTTTGCAAATGGAACAAAGACTGGACGACAGCATGTCTGTTTACACCATAGTTTGCTGAATATTTTAAGCCCACTGTTGAGACCTAATGCTCACAAGATTCCTTTCAAAACATTACTGCTCATTGACAATGCACCTGATCAACCCAAGAGCTCTGATGGAGATGTTCAAGGATATTAATGTTGTTTTCATGCCTGTTAACACAATATCCACTCTGCAGGCCATGGATCAGGAAGTAATTTTGACTTTCAAGTCTTATCATTTAAACAATACATTTCATAAGGCTATAGCTGCTATAGACAGTGATGCCTCTAACGGATCTTGGCAAAGTACGTTAAAAACCTTCTGGAAAGGATTCACCCTTCTAAGATGCCATTAAGAACATTTGTGATGTTGGGCTTGGTGGCTCATGCCTGTAATCCCAGCACTTTGGGAGGCCAAAGTGTGTAGATCATGAGGTCAGGAGTTCAAGACCAGCCTGACCAATATGGTGAAACCCCGTCTCTACTAAAAATACAAAAATTAGCCGGGTATGGTGGCACTCACCTGTAGTCCCAGCAACTTGGGAGGCTAAGACAGGAGAATCACTTGAACCCGGGAGGTGGAGGTTGCAGTGAGCCAAGATCGCAGCCCTGCACTCCAGCCTGGGTGACAGAGTGAGACTCCATCTCCAAAAATAAAAAAAGAATATTTGTGATTCACAGGAGGAAGGAACACTATCTACATTAACAGGAATATGGAAGGAGTCCAACCCTCATGGATGCCTTTGAAGGGTTCCAGACTTCAGGGGAGGAAGGAACTGCAGGTGTGGTGGAAATAGCAAGAGAACTAGAGTAATAAGTAGAGCCTGAAGATGTGGCTGAACTGCTGTGATCTCAAGATAAAACATTAGTGGGTAAGTTGATTCATATGCATGAGCAAAGAAAGTGATTTCTTGAGATGGAATCTACTCCTGGTGAAGAAACTGTGAACACTGCTGAAATGACAACGGAGGGTTTAGAATTTTCCAGAAACTTAGTTGATAAAGCAGTGTCAGGGTTCAAGAAGACTGACCTCAATTCTGAAAAGAAGTTCTACCATGGGTAAAATGCTACCAATCAGCAACACATGCTACAGAGAAATATTTCTTGAAAGGAAAAGTCCAACAAGGTGGCAAACTTCACTGCTGTCTTACTTTAAGAAATTGCCACGGCCACCCTAACCTTCCGCAACCACCACCTTGATCAGTGAGCAGCCACCAACATGTAAGCAAGACCTTCCTGCAGCAAAAAGGCTACCATCTGGGCTCCAGGCATATTTTAGCAACAAAGTTTTTTTTAAAACTTATAAAAAGACAGAGCCTTGCTCTGCAGCTCAGACTGGAGTGCAGTGGCGCAATCTCAGTTCACTGAAACCTCCACCTCCCAGGTTCAGGCGATTCTCCTGCGTCAACCTCCTGAGTAGCTGGGATTACAGGCACGTGCCACCACACGTGTCTCTAACGGCTCACAGAGACAGGGTCTCGCCATGTTGGCCAGGCCAGGAACAAACTCCTGATCTCAGATGATCTGCCCATCTCAGCCTCTCAGATTGCTAGGATTACAGGCATGAGCCACCATACCCGGTTGCACAGCATTTTTTAATTAAGTGATGTATATTGTTTAAGATATAATGCTATGGCACAATTAGTAGACTATAGTGTAAATCTAACTTTTACATGCACTGGGAAACGAAAAATTTGTGTGACGTGCTTTACCGTGTTATTCACTGTACTGTGGAAGTCTGGAAGTGAACCTGCAAGGTCTCCCACATATGCCTGTATATTAGATTATTACCCCCATTTTTCAAAGTTCCAAGTGCTATATAGTTACTTAAGATGTTTACGGTATGAAGTATTAGAGATCAATAAATAGCCTCCATTTTTAAAAGTTCTAAATTTGTTATACAGTATATGAAGGAGTAAACAGGGAACCATTACAGCCAATAATGAAAAGATGGTAGCAATATACAACAAAAACAAATATGTCCAATCTACATGAATGAAAAGAATCAATCACCCAGACACTAGAAAGGTCTACTGATATCAGTAATGAGAAATGAGACCTATATTAAAGCTCCAAAGCAAGGAAAAATGATCACATACTATCAACATAAGGAAGATTTATCAGTTCCACTGTGCTGCTTGTCTTGATTATAGCATTCAACAGAAGTGGTGGGTGGAATACCATGGAAGTAAGAATTTGGAAGGGCAGGAAATAAATAGAAGAGTATGCATAGCATGGTAACACTGATATTCCTGGGACACCAGTGTCATTGTGCCCCTTTCCTGCTGAAGGACTCATTTACTAAAATATAGGCTATCCAGTACAAATTCTGTTTTTTGGTCTTTGTTTTTTTTGTTTTTTTGAGACGGAGTTTTGCTCTTGTTGCCCAGGCTGGAGTGCAGTGGCGTGATCTCGGCTCACTGCAACCCCTACTCCCAGGTTCAAGCGATTCATCAGCCTCCCAAATAGCTGGCATCACAGGCATGCACCACCATGCACAGCCTGGCTAATTGTGTATTTTTCGTTGAAATAGGGTTTCTCCATGTTGGTCAGGCTGGTCTCGAACTCCTGACCTCAGGTAACCCGCCCGCCTCAACCTCCCGAAGTGCTGGGATTACAGGCATAAGCCACTGTGCCTAGTCCAAATTCTTTAACTTTAAAGGCTCTTCCTCCCACAAGGAAGGCCTCTTAACTCCTGCCAAAAAAAAAAAAAAAAAAAAAACGGCTTATTTCCTATATACTACACATGATCAACTCTTCCTCCAAATCCAGGCTCCTATCGGTCCTACAACCTGGAATAAGGTTCCCATTCCTCTCACCCTCCTAATCTTACTCAGTAATCCAAGCTCAGCTGGCTTTCTACTTCCTCTGTAAGAGAAGCCAATCACCCCAGCTATGTTAGTTTCTTTAAACTTAGAGTATCTTAGATTCTTTAAACTCTGTAAAGCTATGGAGCATTTACCTGATGATATAGTATTCATGATTTATGTGTATGCATACATGCAAAATCTTATTTCCTATCTAGATTTCATTCATGATACAGGTTTTTAAACACTAAAAGTAACTGATCTTGGCCAGGCGCAGTGGTTTATGCCTGTAATCCAGCACTTTGTGAGGTCAAGGAGGATCACTTGAGTCCAGAAGTTGAAGACCAACCTGGGCAACATATCAAAACCCTGTATCTACAAAGCAAAAGATTAGCTGGGCATGGTATCAAGCACCTGTAGTCCCAACTACTCAGGAGAATGAGATGGGAGGATCGCTTGAGCTCAGGAGTTGGAGGCTGCAGTGAGCTATAATTGCACCACTGCACTCCAGGCTGAGTGACAGAATAAGGCCCTGTCAAAAAGGGTGAAAGAAAGGATGGAAGGTAAGGATGGAAGAAAAGGAGGGAAGGGGAGGGGAGAAAAGAAGGGGAGGGGAGGAAGTCGGGCAGAGAATAGGGGGAGGAGAAGAGGGTGGAGGCGAAGAGGGGAAGGGAGGCAGGGAGCCAGTGTAAGACAGAAGCTGTTGTAAGATTTGGGCTCCAGGTGGATGACTTCAGAGACAATTTAAGAAGGCGAGGGTTCCACATATGCTGGGTACTGTCAGAAAGTGGGAGTAATCCTATGAACAGATATTTCATAAAATTTTACCCATTGGTGCAGGGAGCTAGAACAGAATAACGCTGTAATTGGTGGAGAAGTAGCAGTCACTCATATTGGTTCAGATGAGGGTATCTTTAGGGTGCCACAGTGACCACGTTTTTGTCTGTGCTTAAACAAAATGATGGTGTGGCCTGCTCTATCTTACTGCATCCTGGTCTTGGAGGACCCTTGCCTGAGGCTGGGGTCCTGTGTGATTATTTATGGCCTCATAAAAGCACAGCACAGCTGTGAGGGCCACACTAGCTTCTACTCCTGTTTTCTCACTTGATCCTTCCCCAGAGCTTGAGAGCTTCTCAATACTTGAAGACTTCATGAATAAAATCAGTGATATTAATGATTTTTTGATATCATAAAATGAAACAAATCAACATCTGAAAGATCAACATAATTCAGTTAACCACTGTCTAACAGTTAGAGGCTGCTATACTCCCAACTCAGTAACAAGGGATAACAGCTTCACAGCTGAAGGGAAAAAAGTGACAAATGTGTAATTCATAAAATGTGGAGCCCCTTCATTCCTCCACGGTGTAGTAGGTCCCCGTGTTCTAGTCTCATATTACACGCCAGGAATGGAGGATCAAAAAAAGAAAGGCCCTTGTCCTCAAGCAGCTCACAGTCCAGTGGGGTAATAAGGGTTCACAACGCATAGGCAGACACTGAGAAGCACTGCCACAAGAGGGGGATGGTCTGTACCTCCCAAGGACACTGCATACAGACCAAACAGGGACCTCCCCGCAGAAGATCATGGCAGCACTTAACCCTGCAGGTCCAACAGGAGTCAGCAGGCCCAAGAACTGGAAGGTACAGAGGAGGAGGAGATAAACCGGGGGCTGTAAGGGATTTTCCATCCCAGTCAGAGGAAAGCCTTCTAAGGCTGTGGTGAGTGAACCAGAAGGCAGCTCAGGGTTTTGGCAGGGGCTCTCATCAAGACTTGATGAGGGCCTAAATACATAAAGCCATGGCAATGTCTATCAAAAGGAAGGAGTGCCGTGTGGGCAGCATTCAAGCTGTATGATGGGGCCCGCCTCACCAACTGGAGAGCTTAATGACATCAACTTAAAAGCAACAAAGGCCACTGTTGCCTCTAGAGTACTTTCTTCCTCTGAAAATTCTCGTGATATGAACACTAATTCAAGTATGTTACCTGGTGTTCTTCTGAGGAGTCAGCATAACCTGGCCTTCTGACGTGATGTCTATGATGCAGTGTTCAGGAAGAATTCCCATGCCGCACAGCTGGATATCTTGGGAATTTGCTGACCCTATCAATGTATGTTCCTAAGAAAGAATCGAATTCATGATTAATACTGTACTCTTACATGCACACAACTGAAATCGTTTACACTGAGCTCTCTTATGTCATCTTACTACTTTAGCTAAAATATTTTTTATGTTTATTCTTATTTTATTTTTGAGACGGGATCTCGCTCTATGCCCCAGGCTGGAGTGCAGTGGTGCAATCTCGGCTCACTGCAACCTCCGCTTCCTGAGTTCAAGCTATTCTCCTGCCTCAGACCCCCCAGTAGCTGAGATTTATAGACATGCACCACCATGCCCAGCTGATTTTTCTGTAGTTTTGGTAGAGACAGGGTTTTACCATGTTGGCCACACTGGTCTTGAACTCCTGAGCTCAAGTGATCCATCCACCTCAGCCTCCCAAAGCGCTGGGATTACAGGTGTAAGCCACCACACCTGGCCTAAAAGATTTTTTAAAAGCAAATGGAGCCAGGCATGATTCAAACAAAAGCAGGAAGAGAGCTAGATTTGGCCTGTGAAGAGTAGATGGCTGACCCTGATCTAGACCAACTCGCCCTCTCCCATGGCTTTAAATGCTGTCTTCAAATAAACCACATCTCCATCACCAGTCAGGAGCTACATACTTTAGTTCCACTTTTTCCCCACCTCCACGATCACTATCCCAGTCTTAGTCCCTATTTTTATTTTTTTCAGATGGGGTCTTGTTCTGTCACCCAGGTTGGAGTGCAGACACACTATCCATGCTCACAACAACCTCACCCTCCTGGGCTCAAGCAATCTTCCTGTCTCAGCTGAGATCACAGGCAGGCACCACCTGGACCAACTAATCTTTTTTAGTTTTTGGAAAGACAGGGTCTCAGTGTGTTGCTCAGATTGATCTCAAACTCCTGAGCTCAAGCAATCCTTCCACCTCAGCCTCCCAAAGTACTGAGAAAACATGTGTGAGCCACTGTGCCCAGCCTTAGTCACCACTATTTTCTGCCTACTCAGCCTACTTGACACAACCTGGATGTCTGAAGATACGTTAAAGGGAACAAAGGCCAAAGTGAAAGTCTTGTTCCCATCTCCCCCAACCCAACAGAAGTCAATTTCCTTCTCCAATAATAATGGTACCACCCCCAGTCAGTCAACTGAACGGCTTAGATATGATCCTTGAGTCCTCTTTCTTTCCCTTACAAGCCCATACCCACCCCATGTCAATCAGGGAAAATCTCACAGATTTTCCCTCCAAAGTCTATCAAGAATCAGCTTGTTTTCCCCACCTCCATGACCACATCCTTGATTCAGCCTTCAGGATCTCTTGCCTGTGGATACAGAGCTTCCTACTATGCCTCCATTGCATGACACCCTCTTCCGCTCCCACCACAACAGCTGGTCATGTCATCTCCTATTTAAAATCTTCTAAGATTGGGCCTGGTAGCTCACACCTGTAATCTCAGCACTTTAGTAAGCCAAGGCAGGAGAACTGCTTGAGCACAGGAGATCAAGACCAGCCTGGGCTGGTCCTTGTCTCTACTGAAGATAAAAAAAAAAAATTGAGGCCAGGCACAGTGGCTCACATCTGTAATCCCAGCACTTCGGAGGGCTGAGGTGGGCAGATCACTTGAGGTCGGGAGTTTGAGACCTGCCTGGCCAACATGGTGAAACCCTGTATCTACTAAAAATACCAAAAAAAATTAGCCAGGCGTGGTGGTGCACACCTGTAATCCCAGCTACTTGGGAGGCTGAGGTAGGAGAAGTGCTTGAACCTGGGAGGCAGAGGTTGCAGTGAGCTGAGATCACGTCACTGGCACTGCAGCCTGGGAGAGAGAGCGAGATCCCAACTCAAAAAAAAAATTTTTTTTTTAATGAGGCAGAAAGATCACTTGAATCCAGGAGACTGAGGCTGCAATAAACCATGATTGTGCCACTACACTGTCACCTGGGTGACAGAGAGAGACTGTGCCTCAAAAAAATAAAATAAAAATAAATAAGACTAAAACCTTCTAGTGGCTTCTCTTTGAACTTCCAATAAAGCCCAAATTCTCACCCAGGCTTACGAAGCATTCTACAACCTGCCCCTGCCTATTTCTGCCTGGCCCTCACTCCCACCATCTCCCTCTCACAGAGCACGTGCCAGCCACATGGTCCTTCCGTCTGTTCTTGGAGCACACTGAGCCTATTTCCATCCTAATGCCTTTTACTAGCTGTTTCCTCTGTCTGAAACGTTCTTCCCCTGATCCTGATATGGGTCACTTCTTATCATTTCTATCTCAGCTTTTAATGTCACATCCTCAGGGAGCTGTTTCCTGAGTTCACAATTAGAAAAACCCACTGACATCCTGCCCTCTTTTAACTCCTTCCATGACACTGACTGACTGTGGGTTGACTGTCCATCTTGTATTCTTAGCACTTAACCAATGACTGGCATGTGTAGGCATTAAGTAAATATAAAATAAAAATAAATGCACAATCATTTCCCTTTGTGTGGTAATCAAATAAGATAAAGTTAATCATGGACAGGATTTCAGTCTCTTTATTGATAGATGGGTATAATGCTTCTCATGTTACTATAAAGTATTCCAGGATAAAGAAAGGGGGTGTATATTCCAGAAGAGCAGGAGAACTGTACAACTGGAAGTAGAAAGAACTTCAGAGATGTTTTAATCCAATGCCTTCCAGTGACTTCACAGAGATATGAAGTGATCTGCCCAGCATCTAAATTGACTTTTGAATTTTAAGGCAAAGAAATAAAAATGCTCAGCCTCCAAATTCTACCATCCCACATCATGGTATCACTTTACTGAAGCAAAAACTGTCTTTGGGCTGAGATCATCCTTTTAAATGTGCTTTGTCTTGGAGATATGCTTGGTGTGGGGTTAGCTTGGGCAGTCAAGAAATCAACACTGCCTCAGACTCTGCCAAACAGGGCTGGCCACACAGCCAGAAACAGAACCCAAACACCTCCACACAAGATGACCAGAAACATCTGATGACTCTCCAAACATCTTTAAACAGCTTCTTTGTTTAAGTTTTTAGTCACGGAGTAGATATGAATGATAGTTTTTTCTTGATGTGTGTGTTTGTGTGTCCCAATTTAAACTACGTTACAATGGAAACAAAAAGAATTCCTAGTTATGAGAAATAAAAAGGACAGAATACTCAGGTCCTATTCTAACACTGCACGTCCTCCCACATAGTCAGCTCATTAGCTTTACTGTCCTGGTCACACTCATATGAATATCCTGACTCAAAATGCTACCAGCACTGTTCAGAAGCAAAGTAAGTAATGTAACAATATAACTTTTTTTTTTTTTCTTTGAGATGGAGTCTGGCTCTATCACCCAGGCTGGAGTGCAGTGGCATGATGTCAGCTCACTGCAACCTCCACCTCTTGGGTTCAAGTGATTCGCCTGCCTCAGGCTCCCAAGTAGCTGGGACTACAAGTGTGTACCACCACCCCTGGCTAATTTTTATGTTTTTAGTAGAGAAAGTGTTTACTCATGTTGCCCAAGCTGGTCTCAAACTCCTGATCTCAAGTGATCTACCCACCTCAGCCTCCCAAAGTGCTGGGATTACAGGTATGAGCCACCATGCCCAGCTTATAATACACCATTTTTTAATAGGCAAAGACAGTATGCGTATAATAAACCATACAGAGTATCAAACAAGAAAGTGGAATGCAGAATCTTTTTTTTTTTTTTTGTATAGTGCTTCTGTTTATGAAGTATTTCTGTATCTCCAACCCTCACAGAAACCTGGCAAACCAGCCTGAGACACTTGCCTCCATTTACAAAGGAACTAGATTAGAGGGAGCAAAGGGCTTAGCCACAGACTAGAGAGACAGGTCACTCCTTCCCACCCCAGCTTTGCTGCCACTGAACCACAGCACCTGAGACATGGGCACAGGAAGGTATGCATCAAAGACACAGTCTCACTCACAGCACATCAACACACTGCGTAAGATACTTATTAACCACGGGCCTTCTCAAAATGACACAAAGCTAATACCCCAGGACCTCTCCAGGCTTTTCTGAAATGAAACCACACAATTCTCGTAGAACTGTTTCCCACGTAGTCAGCTTGTTAGCTTTACTTTTCTGGTCACATTCACCAAACCCACATATGTGAGGGGAAAGAAATTGAGCCCTAACCGTTATCAACTCTGTGTCAGAGTGGTGCGGTCCATCACATGTAACAAGCAATTTGTGCTCTGGGCTTGACACAACCCATTCTGGACACTCCTCGAATCTGTGGAGTGTCTCTTATCTTCCTAATATGTCCCATGATTTACAGATTTCAGTGGATACCAATATTTCTCCTTTTTTCCGTTCCATGCTCTGACTCACTCAGTCTCTAAATAACCTATAGTTTTTAAAAATAGATTGATAACCTAAATTTTTAAATTTTCCTAAGAGTTACTGGAAACATAAATTTCATACCAACTGGTCCTAAGAACTTTATACATTTCTTGTGAGCTAACAAACTGCTCACAAAAGAAAGTGCTTCGTACAACCACAAAAGCTTTAGCATACTTACTAAATGAATCATCTAGTCTTTCAAGTCATCCATTTTTAAAGTTATCTACTTAATTCCCTGATACAAGTCTTATTAAATAATGATAGGAAAGCTATTTAACTTGTTGGAAATCATATCAGAGTATCTTTTTTTATATTGTCAAGTTGAACAACATGAAAGACTAAAAAAGGAAACTGAGCCCAGAAACCCAAGATGGTTCCCTAACTCCAGCTTATTCAAATAAAAACCATCTGCTAACTCTGTTTTTTGAGTATACACGGTTCCCCAAGTTTACTAAAGTACTGTGAACTATTATCCTATTTCATAACAAGAAACTAGGAGCAAAGCACATTACTTCACCTTTAAATAGTACACCAGAAGCTCATTCAAAGCTGGGTCAGCATTCAGATTGACAAGGAAGCATTTATCATCCCCAACTTTGATGCCTGAAGACTGAAGAGATATTCCAAGACTCTCAAGCTGCTTCTGTCGTTCCTGTAAATGTATCAGAGAAGTATTAATTCCACAGCTATTGAGGCAGTGAGATATCCAAGCGCTTACATTACAATGTTACAATAATTCAACAGCGTTGTAATTCAAATACATTCTCTTAGGCTATGGCATTATAGATCTATTGCGTTTTTCCCTTCTTTCCAAACATCTAATTTTTATTTTGTTAATTCTATTTTGAAAAATAAAGTCCATTACATATAGTAACTAACTGTACTGGTGAAGTCTGTTTTCACTCTTGAAAATACCTAACATCTTGAATTCATCTCATTTAACTCTGCATATATGAGCAAAGGTGTGTGCACTTTCTTCAACTGGGATCCTTCTTTAACGCCAAGAAGGATCAATACACTCTCCTGCTTGACATCTTCAGTGACCTCCCGGCCAGGATAAAGGCCAAACTCCCTCAATAAAGTTCACAAGGCCCTTCAACCTTGTTTCCTCTCTGGCTTCATGTCTTCTCACTCCTGTCAAACCCAGCACTGCATGAAACAAGCTCCAAGTCCTTGAAAGTGCTAAGAATGTTCTCTGGGCTGAGGGCAGTGGCTCACGTCTATAATCCCAACACTGTGAGAGGCCAAGGCAGGCAGATCACTCGAGGTTGGGAGTTCAAGCCGGCCTGGCCAATGTGGTGAAACCCCATCTCTACTAAACATATAAAAATTAGCCAGGTGTGATGACAGGCACCTGTAATCCCAGTTTCTTGGGAAGGTGAGGCAGAAGAATCACTTGAACCTGGGAGTTGGAGGCTGCAGTGAGCCGAGACCACGTCACTGCACTCTAGCTTGGACGACAGAGTGAGACTGTCTCAAAAAACGTTCTCTGTGCTCTCTTTAGCTGCAGTGATTTTATACCTCTTTCTTCTACCTGGAGCAGACGTGTTCTACTTGGTAACTGTTCACTGGGCCATTTCTCTCACACGGGATGCGCGCAGTGTGAGCACGGATCCTATCTTATGTACTGCTGTGCTCCCAGCACTTAGCACAGGGAAGGATACACAGCAAGCACGCGAAACATCAGTGTGGCGAATTCATCCAAAACCCAACAAACTTGCACATGCACTTAAGCACTGGTTTCATAATATGGGCCTTTCCTTTTTTTGTGCCTGTCTCTGAACCCGTACAATATACAAACATCTGTATATGATAAGGGGATAGGCGTGGATCTCACGACCAGACGCTCTGTATGACGGTCGTCAGGAGTGGAGAGGGGCTCTTCAACTATGGGTAAATAGCAAGTAGCAATGAGTCAATTACCCAAGACCTCTGATTCTGGGGGAAGACAAGACAAACCAAGTCATTCAGCTAGGGCCGCACAGTAAGTTTGCAGCGTAATTAAAATCAAGCTTCATAATTTGCTATTTCTAGGCATGCCATCATAATTTATACAATCATTGCAACTCAGCCAATATATCCTGCCCAGAAATACATTACTACAAAATTGAAAGATGTATATTTTGGTCTTGGGTCTTCAAATCAAGTCTTTAAATCAAGTTCTAATAATAAGAACTACAGGGTTCTTTCAGAAGTTAATACTAACCATCAGAGTTTTCTGCACTCAATTCCAAGAAGTAATTATCCTGGCTACAGTCATGTCTGTAAAATGAAGAAAGTAACTACACTTTAAGTTTTCGCTGTTACTAGTTATTACTGTTTCACGCTACCTCCCTGTGCACGTTTCTGCCATTTGAGATTTTATAATAGTAAAAACACTATAAAATTTTTTGTCTAAGCCAAAAAAGGGCATAATAGTGGAAAACTGTCAATTCATTATTGCATTTGCCACCAAAAACTTTAAAGTTTTTCATCATCTTAAAAAAATAACAAATGTTTGCAGTATCTAGGAATCAGGCTCAAAATACAGTTTACTAATATTATCAAATAGTCCTTCTGACATCAGAGGTTGGTTAACTTTTCCTGTCACATGTCCGACGGTAAATATTCAGTCTTTGTGGGCCATGAGGTCTCTGTCTTATTCCTACTGTTGAAACCATACATGATACATGAGCACAGATGTACTCCAAAAAATTTTACAAAAGCAAGTGGTGGACCAGGTTTCATTCACATGTACTGTCTGTCAACCCCTGATCTAGCTCAAGGTTTTGATTTGACTTAAGTGCGTATCTTTTAGTAAGAATATAAAAGATAAAAATAAGGGACAGTGTGGTATAGTAGATATGGCACTGGAATTAGACAATACTCAGCTTGAGTTCTGTTTATGCAAAAATATGATTCAGCATACAGCACTAAAAGATAGTCTTTTTTCTTGAGAGCCTGACAAACTCATTAGCGACTAAAACTACACATAACAATTAAAGGATGGTGAAGTACTGCAGGACATATGGGTCAAAGGGTGCGGACAGGCTGCAGGAATTCCGAGGCAGGGGCATCTGAGGGCCGGCACCCCAGGGCACGATGTTACAGAGCCTGGAGGACCCATGGAGAGTCTGGCTGACTTTCAACCACCCCCAAAATGATGTGAGAAGTCTTTCAAAAAAGAAATTCATTGACTTCAGTTTGCCCGAAATTTCCCAAATTTATCTGCCCATGGACCATGTCAACTGTCTCCAGTCATCTTCTAGAAGACTTATTAATGCTTCGTGGCTCTACTATCAGAAATCGATTTTGGAAGATATCAGTTTGGACTAGGAAGAGTAAGTGATCAAGAGACCAGGTTTTTTCTTTTCTTTTCCGTTTTTTTTTTTTTTTTTTTTGAGACGGAGTTTCGCTCTTGTTACTCAGGCTGGAGTGCAATGGCGCGATCTCGGCTCACCGCAACCTCCACCTCCTGGGTTCAGGCAATTCTCCTGCCTCAGCCTCCTGAGTAGCCGGGATTACAGGCGTGCGCTACCATGCCCAGCTAATTTTTTGTAGTTTTTAGTAGAGACGGGGTTTCACCGTGTTGACCAGGATGGTCTCGATCTCTTGACCTTGTGATCCACCCGCCTCGGCCTCCCAAAGTGCTGGGATTACAGGCGTGAGCCATCGCTCCCGGTCTTTTTTTTTTTTTTTTAAAGATGGAATCTCGCTCCGTTGCACAGGTTGGAGTGCAGTGGCGCAATCTTGTCTTACTTGCAACCTCCACCTCCCGGATTCATGTGATTCTCCTGCCTCAGCCTCCTGAGTAGCTGGGATTACAGGCATCCACCACCACGCATGGCTAATTTTTGTTTAGTATAGGTGGGTTTCATCATGCTGGTCAGGCTGGTCTCAAACTCCTGACCTCAGGTGATCCACCCACCTTGGCCTCCCAAAGTGTTAGGATTACAGGCATGAGCCACTGTGCCCAGCCGCGACCAGGTATTTTCAATGAGAGAAGAAAAACATTCAGCAGCACTAAAGCCTGGGGGCTCTGGAAGGTAAGGCACTAAAGGAGCTGTTGAATAAAATCAGGCAGTGCCCCCAAAAGGGGCCCCTGAGAGAGGAAAAGGGAAGACGCCAACATGAAGCTCCCCGAGATGCTGGCTCACTTAGACCTGCCCTGTTTTCTATCAGCACAATGACTCGTCACAACCAATGTTTACTGTTGGAGCTGCTCAGAATGGTTCAAAGTAGCTTCCAAATTGAACAATTATTGGAATGACTTGTAATTTTTAAAAAAACACACAGATATATGTAATGAGAAACAGTTTATATACGGATCCCTTGTCTGTAATTTGAGGGATATGTTTTAAGATAAGCCAATGCAGGGACACGGATAAACTACGCTGGGCTTATCGTGAACTTTAGAGAAGCCAGGTAATGGGTACCTGTAGATCTCGTATACTCTTCTCTAATTTTTATCTACTTTGAAAATGTCTGCAACAAAAATGTTTCTAAAATCTATTTTAATCCCAGTCTACAGTAATGTAACATCCACTTTATGCTAAATAACAACAGTACCATCCTATAACATCTGACACATACATTGATTTTGGGACAGCACATTTAAAGATGGAATCTACTGAGTGAAAACAGATGGAGCAAGTTCTGTATATTCTCTAATACAAGAAACAGTTAAAAACATCAGGGAATTTTAACTTAGAAATGGAAGCGGAAGAGGCAGAGAGATGACTTTAAACAGATGAACAACTTGGGTAATAACAGTCCCTATCTTGGAAGACTACTGAGAGGATTACATAAAGTGCTGTGGTTGAAAGTGCTTAGCATAGGGCTCAATACCTAAGTGTATCCAATAAAGGATGGCGTTACTGTCTTCATCAGCTACTGTGTATGGGTAGGACACTTAGTCTCTTCGCTATAGAAGAACAAACTAGGGCCAGTGAGTAGAAATCAAAGGAAAAAAGGCTGATTCAGTCGCTGCTCTTGTTCACCAAGAGCCTGTTAGATAGAGTCCCGAGCTTCACATTACCGTATATATTTCTAAAATAGAAGTTGTATGATCATGAAACAGAAAAGCCACAGTGTAAATCTAGTATTAGGTAGACAGACTTTTTCTCCCAATGCTAAACTAGATCTTCCTAGACTGACACTAATGTGCCCATCTTAAGATTTCTGTTTTTTTTTCTTTTGAATGAAGTCTTGCTCTGTTGCCCAGCGTGGAGTACAGTGGTGCCATCTCAGCTCACTGCAACCTCTGCCTCCTGGGTTCAAGTGATTCTCCTGCCTCAGCCTCCCAGGTAGCTGGGACTACAGGTGTGCACCACCATACCCAGCTCTTTTTTTTTTTTTTTTTTTTTAGTAGAGATGGTGTTTCTCCATGTTGGCCAGGCTGGTCTAGAACTCCTGACCTCAGGTGATCCACCCATCTTGGCCTTCCAAAGTGCTGGGATTATAGGCGTGAGCCACCGTGCCTGGCCACTACCCTAAGATTTCGTAACTATCTCTGTTACTAGAAAACGGTGAGAGACAGTCACCTCAGATTTAGGAATTTCATGTTCTTTTCACTGAGTTTTCACATGAAACCAAGAAGTTCATGGCATAATATTTATTACCAGTATTTTTTTTCTTGGCCACATGAACTAGATTGAGTAATTCTGTAATTTCAGGAAGTTCCTTAGGTCTCCAAAGCACTTAACAGAATGGGGTGTTAAGAGCCAGAGGCTACAAAGGAGTTATTTCATTTAATTTTTTAAAAAGATTACTGACACTAAAAAATTATTTCTTACATAAACAATCAAGTAAAATTATATCCTGTTTATCCTTCAAATTAATTTTACCAAGTACAGATTCTCTTAGCTCCAGATTGCTAATGATAGTGCGAGATTTGCCACCAGCCCAGCTGAAGATCAGAAAGGAAGCAGAAACACCATGTGTCCCACCGTGAAAACTGCCGTGAGGTTTCATGTGCTTCACCAGTCAGGAAACACGAACCTGTGCAATCTCCTCCGTCTTCCTTAATTTCTCCTCCCAGGTCACAGTCATTTCCTGGATTAGCTTCTCAGATTCTTCCAGCCGGTCCTTTAGCTCTGGAGATTTCATTGCCTACAAGCAAAACGTTTACTTCATGAAATGTCTGGACGATGCCCTGAAAAAAGGAGTGGCCAAATCTAAAAGGACAAAAGTGACAACCTGCCTCCTCTGGGCTGAACGTCATGCTGAGGTCTGATATCTACCTGAACCATAATGACTGACCTTCCTGGGCTCAGCACCACAAATGTTCTGAGGACCACAGCCTCATCAAGTTATCCAAAATACACCCAAAAGGAAGACTTTTTCTTTTCTGCCACTTTATTGTGAACATACAATTACATTTAAGGATGCAAAAATAGAAAGCTACTAAGGAGTTATTTTTTAAATGCCAATAGGTTATACATCTTGACTCAGACACATGATTCATTCTAGCTGTTACTGATGACTTCGGGAATTGATCCACAGATATACAGACTAAATATGTACGTGCTGCAGACTGGATAGTGTTATTAATATCAAGGAGACAACAAAGTTTCTTCATGGACTGTAAAGTCATGCCTATAAAAACAGGATGAAATGCAACAGATAAAAATATGATCAAGATAATCATCTTGACCATGTCTCTCACTGATTTATTCCCAAAAAACAGGTATGAAAAACAAGGCGAACTCCAGAAATAGCCCCACAGTGCTGAGTAACTGTGGGAAGAGAAATGATAATGAAAGCAGGAATCCTGAATCTGATATTTCATTCTACTTTCCCAGGAGGATGAGCACTTGGGTTGCAAGTCAGAGTGGTGTGGGTTTTCAAATTTATTAAAGCAACATTATCCATTATAGAATACACAGAAGACAGCTATAATAGAGTACCACTAAATACATGGGTACTTACTTCTACTATAAAATATTTTCTACAAACATAATTAACCCACAACTTGGAAATGCTAGATTATGAAGGTATGGAAGACTCAAGATTTTCCTTCTGGTTTCTACCAGGTAACAAATGAGATTCAACAAAAATCCTTCTCTCCATCATTTTCTGCACAAAAATTAAATTACATACAAATGGTCTCCAGCATCTCTCTCTTCCTCTCCCTTATTCTATTATGCCTCTCTCTTTTGTCTGCCACCTGAATGGAAATGCAAACATTTTCCAAATTCTCTTTATCTGCTCCTGTTCAATCTTTTTAACATCTATAAGAACTCTTTGGATTCCTTTATTTATTACTCATCTCAAAGTTCTCTTGCTATAAGAAATTCACAAATTTTAAGTAGAGTCCTCCTCACTCACAGCCCAGGGGAAGAAAATTCAAGCTCTCGGCTGGCTCCCCCTTCTGGACTCACAGGGACGCACAGTGGTGCATCGTACCTCTGCTTTGGTCAGCTGCTCTCGGAGTTTCTCAACTTCTTCCCGGAGATCCCGGATGATTCGGGCATTAGGGTCCTCATTCACCACAGCGTGGTTAACAATGTGCTTGGCTCGATCTGCATACCTCAGCGTTGAGAGGGTTTCATCGTAGTTATCAGCTGCAGGACTCACAGTAGCCACCATGGCGGTCTTACTGTTACCCCCAAGGCTGTCCTAAGGAGATAAAAGCAAGTTGAGTAGCATTTTAAAGTTGGAAGAACACATCATATGAGAAATGTGAAATCAGAAATGGTGAACAAACTTCGCCAGCTCAAACACGTTCAGCGACAGAGCTAGGGCAGAAAGGCAGGTGTACTGACTCGAGTACTGTGCTGTTTCTTCTCTGCCAGGCTATGCGATTAAAAAGAGGGAGTTTCAGCCTTTGATAAAGGCGGGGGAAATGTCATGAAAAATACCTTTATTTCAGTTGCATAAAAATTAATTCTAAGTTAATGGGTCTTATTTTATAGGTAAGATGATATCACAAGAAAACAGACTACTCAGAATAAAAAAGGACTCCTTAAATGCCTCCAAAACCTTCCGAAGAGTAGCAAGGATGATACTTACTTGACAACCCCCTCCACCACCCTCTGTACTGGGAGTCTCTGTGAGTCCTAATGAAGGCTCAGAAAGTTGCTGTTACAAGCCACCAAGCACCTTGTAAAGTTTTTAAAACATAAGGTACAATTATGGTCTTAGAAAAACAAGTTAAACAAACTTCATTTTCTTCACACTGATAGTACATCAAAAGCTACTAAGGTTTTAAGTTCTAAATAAGCACTTCCACCATTCAGACAGTGGTCATAAGAAGACAGACTCTCTTCAAGAGGCTCAAACTGCTAAGTACAAACAGCTTTAGGACTGACTAGCTTCCAACCAACTGAAAAGCTAGACTTGGGACATTAAGCCTACCGCGCTCTGCTGCACCACAGACAAGGCTGTCTACGGCTACCCTCCTGGTGCCCACACCCCGGTACACTTCCCTTCCGCCGAGTGTGGCCAGGACTTATGCATCCATCTCTAAGGAATGAAAGTGATGGCATGTCACTTGTAAGGGTAGATTTAAAGAAGATGGTGGCTGCTGTCTTGGGTGTTTTCCTTCACTCTGGGGGAAATGGGCTTCCATGAGTCAGACAACGGCCCTAGGAAGAGAGGCCCACAGCAGTCAGTTTGGAAGCAGATCTTCTGGACCCTGCCAACAACCATGTAAGTGAGCAGACACCTCCCCACACCAGTCATGCCTTGAGATGATGACGACAGCAGCCCCCCATCCCCGACACTTTAATTACACCCAGGTCAGACATCCCGGCTAGAGCCACTTCATTAAGCCGCATGCACCCAGAGTCCTGACCTATGGAAACCCTGAGACAATAAATGACTTGTTTCGAACTATTCCCTTCTGGGGGGGATCTGTTACAAGCAACAGATAAGTACTCATACACCAACCCAGGCTGAGATGAATCATCAAGGCAAACAGAAAGAGTGAATACTCTGCAGTAACAGAAAGTCACTGAATGACAGACTCTCAAGATTAGAGGAAACACTCCAACAGGCCAGGAACAGGGAATTCACCAGAGCATGAGAAAACAAACTACTTTGGGGCGGCATGAACCTATGGGCAACTCCTACTTGTGAAGATACAAAGCCTTTCCATTCTTATTACATCTAAAATGTGTTGGAACCATCTGTGATTTCCCCAGTATTTGTGCACACACTTTATTTACTTAGGTCTCCATTTTTTGTGAGGTCAATTTATCACAGAGCCTGGTTTTATTGATGAGAAAACAGGTTTGTTCTGACAATGGAGGTTGATGTAGCACTCTGCCTAAAAATCCAGAACTGGTAAGTTGAACAATATCCTAGCCCGGCTAGATTCTGCCTTCAAGCCCAACATGATTTCCACTCCCCCACGGCTGCCCACAGTACATATTTGATAACACAGAGAAAGACCTGAGGATTAAGTAAGGTGACCTGACATCTTTTCAAATTACCTTGCCCTAGTTTCAGAAACAAAGTCATTCCTAAGGTTTTGCTAAAAGTTCAGGTATGACCACAGACAATATATCCCTTGTTCATATACCATTGCAAGTTCAGTTTTCCACAGAACACATAATTATATTGATGAAGAAAATATAATTTAGTGCATGACACAGAAGGAACTACATATAACTAATTTGGACTTTAGGAAGTCAAAGCCATGACTGTTTGCTTCACTCTTCCCTTCCAGACATTAATCTCACATAGCTGGTGCCCCAGATTTGGCAACTTTGAGAAAAATTTCACGAAGAGTCCCCTGCACATGAATGAAATTCAAATGTGATGCAACAAGAGCGCAGGAGTTCAATCTCATTGCAGTTTGGTTCGCCGGTAACATCACACTGCCCTCTGAGAACCACCACACATTGTCAGCCCACGTCAACAGCAAATGCTATCAGTTGAAAGGGGATTTGTAACAATAATTACCAAAGGAGAAAAGCATGTATATTGTGCTTCAATTTATGCTGAGAAAAGGAAACCTGGCAAACAACAAATGCTTGATATTTTAAAAGCCCTTGTTCATGGAACAACAATACCCTTATGTTAAAAATGACCTCATGCCATCAGCAAAAAGGAAATCGCAACAAAAGAACTGGCACTCATTCAAGGAGAAAGTAGAAAGTGACTTGTTTACTCTGTAATTGTTTAATTAGGCAAATCAGACTAGGTTTGTCTCAAAGGTGGCAACTGCAAATTAAACAGATATAGGGAAAAATTTACTTTTGGAAGTCAGAATTTTTAAAAGCTGAAAGAACTCTATGAAGACATATAATCAAATTATTTCATTTTACAGATGAGAAAGTGAGACCCAGGAAAATAACAGACATTTCAAAGGTCACAGAGCTGGTTCAGAACAAGGCTGAAATTACTCATTCATTCAACTCTTCCTGGAGCTCATCTGTCTAGGGTGAATGCAGGTAAGCAAACACTACATAATAGGAACTAGATGATAGGAATAAATACAATATGGTCTGAAACAAACAGCAGAGAGCCAAATCTTGAAAGGTTAAGGAAGACTCACAGAAATTGACACTGGAGACCCAAAGATAGAGAATAATTACCCAGGGAAAGGGAGAGGGGAGAGAAGGGAGGAGACGCTGAAGAGATGGGAGGGGAAATCATATTCCAAGTTAAATAAGAGTAAAGTCCTACAGGTAAGACAACACTCATCACTTAGCTAGAATTTGTAATACCAAGAGGCACAGGATGAACAATAAAAAGTCAAGGGGGTCAGCTCATGGAGAACCTTGTAAGTCACACACCATTAAAGAATTTGGACTCCATGGCTGGGCGTGCCGACTCGCACCTGTAATCCTAGCAGTTTGTGAGGCCGAGGCTGGAGGATCCCTTGAGTCCAGAAGTTCAAGACCAGCCTGGCCAACATAGTGAGACCCCATTTATACAGAAAAGGAAAAAAGAATTTGGACTTTATCCTAAGGGCCTATGGACAATTACTTAAGAGACTGAGGGTTAAGAATATTAATTTAGAAATATGTTCCAACCTAACCATGTAGAAAGGACTGGACTAAGAAATCTCAAGGGAAATGACTGTTATACAGACAACAGATGAAAATGGCCATCATTAGGGAGGTGGTGGTAGGAATGAAAACAGGGGGAAGAATTAGAAAGGTACTCATTATCTGAGCACTCATTACCAGACGTTACTTCATGTTAAGAGGCCCACATTTAGATGGTTATTCAGAGGACCAAAATTCATCTTAATGTGAAACAGTTCTCCACTGACCACTTAGTGAACGTGTACCCCTCATTTAATGGTTGTTCCATCCTCCCTGGGAGAAGAGCACTCACATCCATCCTGGACCAAATCACCAAGAAGAGCCGCAGCTTCTCTCATTCTCAGATGTTACACGCATTAAGAGCACAACACAATTATAATGCAAATACAAGGCAAAAAAAAAAAAAAAAAAAGTCTCTGTGAAACTGAAAATATTATAGAAAATGAGCAATTTAAAAAAAAGAAAAGAAAAGAAAATGAGCAATTTTACAAGTTCAATGGAAATTATGTTGGAGAATACAGGAAGTATGCCTATGCCAAACTAGGATCCAGGTGACTCAGACTAAGAATTTAAGAAGGAAAAAGCAGCAGGGACCTAAACCCACTTTAAAGGAAAAGGCTCTGAACTTCGAGCAGTTTGGAGAAGGCTCTGGGAAAACTGCTTCAGCTCTGGAACATGTTCTGAAAAAAATGCCCCTATTCACGATCTTTTGTGAAGTTCAAATGATGTAAAAAAAAAAGGATCATACACATTTTTTTCTTTTTCTTTTTTTTTTTTTTTGTTTTTTTTTGAGACAGAGTCTTGCTCTGTCACCCAGGCTGGAGAATAGTGGCATGGTGTCAGCTCACCACAACCTCTACCTCCTGGGTTCAAGTGATTCTCCTGCCTCAGCCTCCCAAGTAGCTGGGATTACAGGTGCGTGCCACCACTCCCAGCTAATTCTTATATTTTTAGTAGAGATGGGGTTTCACCATGTTGGCCAGGCTGGTCTCAAACTCCTGTCCTCAGGTGATCTGTCTGCCTCAGCCTCCCAAAGTGCTGGGATTACAGGCATGAGCCACCATGCCCAGCTAAATCACATATATTTTTAACGAAAAAATCATGACAAATATCCAGCAAACATTTGACTTATTTTTAACACATAAAAGTTACGATTATAACCTAAATTACCTAAACAGCAAATTAAGTGAGCTTTTAAAAAATGCTTTTGGTTTCATTCTTTAAGTACTATGAACAATTGTTTTCATTATTTTCTATCAAAGACTGGTAAACATCAAGGGAGTATCCTTCTAATGAAAAATAACCTTTGATAAGAAGAGCACAGCCTTGGCAAAAAATCGCTGTACAGTAAAGTCAGTGCTGATTCCAATCCCGATCCTGACATTCATTAGTTCTGTACCCTCTGTCTCATCTGACCACTGGGAACACCACCCTTGCCCTTCTGAGAAGGAAATGAGACGATGTCCATGAAGCCCTTGGCACGGCACCAGATACTCCTGCAGCAGGTGCTCCTGGCCTCCAGCCCACTGAGGCCGCTCCACGACCACCCATGCCATTTTCACTATGTCAATTAACAAAAGATATTTCTTGTGGTTGTTTTAAATGGACTCAAGCAGCAATACTGAAACAAGGACAATGTATGACCAGGAAATGTTTCTATGGAAAGTCTGAGGAAGAAGTATCTTATTAAGATCTCTTCTAGAGACCAGGCATGGTGACTCCTAACTGTAATCCCGGCACTTTGGAAGGCTGAGGCAGAAGAATGCTTAAGCCCAGGAGTTCAAGACCAGCCTGGGCAACACAGCAAAACCCCATCTCTACTAAAAATACAAAAATTAGCCAAGTGTGGCGGCATGAGCCTGTATGTAATCCCAGCTACTCGGGAGGCTGAGGCAGGAGAATCACTTGAACCAGGAGGTGGAGGTTGCAGTGAGCTGAGATCGCGCCACTACACTCCATGGTTACCTTTTATGATAAGAGCACCTGAAATATACTCTCTTAGCAAAGTTTTTTGTATACAATACAGTGTTATTAACTACAGTCCTTACACTGCCCATCAGATCTCTAGACTTAGTATCCTATAAAAATGTAAGTTTATCCACTCATTTTTAAAGATATCTATTTACTGTACCATTTTAATGGCTTTTGTGAGAAAGGATTATATTCATCCTCCAAAGTCTTGAATTTTGTTTGCTTGTTTTTCTAATTATTCTACAGGAGAAAACAACTACAAAATATTTTTGCTAGTCTTGCAGAAGAAGAAGTGCTTATGCTGTTTGAGACAGGAAGGAAAAGTAAATTTATTTTTTTTTAGTTAGGGTAAAAGCACTGAGGTATTTAGTTATGTAGACTGACATCAGTGACTTCAATAACAAAATCTGAGTAAAAATGTTCTACTTTAAAAGACTGAAAGTTAGAATCGTCTTTATGATGAATCAAATTGTTTTAGTTTTGTTCCTAACAATTACCTCTTACTATTTTATGTTTGTGAGGTTGCATGAAGAACCATTACAAGGAGTTTTAACTATCACAATTTCTCTACACTTTTATTTAAATTTTAACAGTTCTGCATTTTGGCCAAAGGAAGTAATCAATTTTCTACTGTGGCAAATTTATTGAATTTTAGCATTATATTTAAGAAAGAACACACTGACATTTATGCAAAAAATGTTATAGTGCCCGGAGTTTTGAATTAAAACATTGAATACTAGTAACTCTTGAGAGGAGGTAGAAGCCAGGAGAAACTCCTACATTATTTCGCAAAGGCCATTTTCTAATCATGCTGTGGACTAAATCAGTAACTGTGTCCTTTACCAAGCTACTGGGGTGGCCCATGTTGAACTCATCTTAATATTTTCAACCCCTAATGCAACGCATGCCAGGTGCTCAACAAATTCTTGATTAATAAGAAAATAAAGCATCACAAAACTAAACCGGGCACATGAAATTATTTCTCCCTTTTAAAAATAGAAAAAAAGTATTAAAGGATTTAGTCAGGCGACACCTCTATAAAAGGGTTAAATTATCACTGCAACTTATATCCTCTAATTCCCAGTCCGATATCCAACTCACCATACCATCTTATGAAGACTAAAGGTGTCCTAGAAGGCTGACGGAAGCTGCGAAGCGTCTTTTTTAACCAAACTCCTATTACATGTTATCACTCTCTCTGCCATGGATCTATCACAAACTCATGTTCTAACAGCGTGTGCACATCTTATCTCCCTTACGAGCTAAAGAAGGCAACAAGTGCGCTCCGTCTTCCTATGTTTAAAATGGAGGATGCGTTCTCCTCCTCCCACTGGACATTGGCTTTTTTCTTTCTCACTTCCACTGCTCTTCCATGCTGAATCCATTCATCAGTGACTGACTGTGTGCCCTACTCTGCAGCCTCTAACAACAGAACTACCTAATGTAGATGATGGGGTGATAGATGCAGCAAACCACCATGGCACGTCTATACCTACGTAACAAACCTGCACATTCTGCACCTGTACCCCAGAACTTAGCAAGGTCTGAACGTCTTGAAATCAAACAGAAAACAAGCTCCAAAATATCAGCCCAACAAAAGGGTCTTTGGAAGGCCAGGGTGGCCCAGCTGAGCATGGGGCCAGCGGAGGCTCCTCCTCCATGACTCAGGCAGCAGTCAGATTCACACGAGGCCCTCTCTCTACTCCCCCAAATCTCCGGAAGCAATCATGTGATTCCACGTGCACCCAGCAACCCCACTGCACCCAGGTTCTAGTAAGCTGGGTTGTGAATTGCTAGGAAAAAAACCTATGTTTATTCCATCAAAAATGTCATTACCGTAAGAGCCTAATAATTATACATTTGCCCACCGATGGAGGACATAATACCTGGAAGGGATTAACGCTCTACTCTTTTTCCTTCCTTCTTGCCAACCACCAGAAGTATGCCAGGAAGAAAAAAAGAAAAACTTACTTTGAGCAGCCAAGTGAGAACGGAGTCACGATATGGAACGAATTTATTCTTGTTTTTGCCAGCACTCTGATCTGCAAGGGCTGAGATAACCAGGCCGAGGGTGGTGAGGGACCTGCATGGTGCAACAAACCGAAATAACTACAAAAATGGAGGCTATCATATGTCACAGTTTAGCACAAAGATTGAACACCAAGATGCCCTGGACCTGCATGTGAAAAGGACCCTGTCAGCATTTTGCCGCTCAGTTCAAAAGCACAAAACTTGAAATAGCTATTTTCTCCCAATACTGCTATAAGCAATAAAAACGCTTAGCCCAGTATTTTTTAGCACATAAAAATGTGAGCTGTAAATCTTCAAGTCAAGGTAACACAAAAACCATGTACCTTTAAGAAAGGAAGACAGAAACACAATAATTAAACCACAGTACCAACAAAAATTGTACATATGAGATTCAATAGCAGGACAGCATCTGTGTGACGGAGTTCTATCATCTCGGTTTGGTTTCTTATGACTCCTATGTGTCCTTCTGGGAGCCACAAGAACAGAAAAGCTTCCTACCCATAATGAGCTAACAATTTAGCTTCAGGGAGAAAATTTAACCCTATGAAAGAACTGGTAAACTAAATATTACTTCATAAAGTCTTAGCTTCTTGGACTTGGACAACTCCGACAGTGTTTATAAAAGGAAAAGCTCAATGTGGTTAGTGCATGTTTCTCCAAAGAGCATCACAAAGGTCAAGATCAACGGCTCCACTCGGAGATCAGCTACCCCTGATCTTCTCTACAGCTCAGACCAGTGGTTCTCACCTGGAGAGTAGAGTGACTGTGCCCCAACAGGGAACAGCCATTGAGAGTGAGTTCAGGTTGACCTAACCAGGGGTGCGGGGAGGTGGCGGCTACTACTGCCATCTAGTGGGGAGAAGCCAGGGATGCAGCTAGACACTCTGCAAAGCACAGGATCACCTCCCTATGAAAAGAATTACCCAACCCAAAAGGGCAATAGGATCACTGCTCAGAAACCCTGACCTGACTGAGGCTGTGCTCTTCGGCCCCATCAGGCATCAGGCATCTCAACAAAACCTAAAATGAGCCCAGGCCCGCTGAAAACACCAGAAAAAAATTCCAAATCACCTTGTTATTTTAATAACTACGGATGTTCCCATATTAGCTATTAAATCAATAAAGCAATAAAAATAAGCTTCCAGCACTTACTTGTTTATGTTGCTCCCTTCCTTCAGCCTGTCCCCTGCAGCACCGGTCTTCGTTGCTCGTTCACTGCCAGCTAAATCCACCAGACTGAGTTTGCCCACTTTCTCTCCAGATGTCTACAAGGAAGTCAATCAACACTAAGAAACAGGAACACAGGGCCAGGCATGGTGGCTCACGCCTGTTATCTCAGAACTTGGGGAGGACAAGGAAGAAGGATCACCTGGGCCCAGGATTTCAAGAACACCCTGGGCAACACAATAAGATCCTCTCTCCACAAAAAATTTTTAAAAAACAGCTGGCCATGGTGGTATGTGCCTATAGTCCCAACTACTTGGGAAACTGAGGTGGGAGGTCACTTGAGCCCAGAAGTTCCAGGCTGCAGTGAAACTGATAGTGCAGTCATATAGTTCCAGTGCTATATGATTGCACCTCTGAATTCCAACCTGAGCGACAGAGACCCTGTCTCTTAAAGAACAATACAGGGTGGGAGCGGTGGCTCACACCTGTAATCCCAGCACTTTGGGAGGCCGAGGCAGGCAGATCACCTGAGGTCAGGAGTTCAAGACTAGCTCGACCAACATGGAGAAACCCCGACTCTACCAAAAATACAAAATCAGCCAGGCGTGGTGGCGCATGCCTGTAATCCCAGCTACTTGGAAGGCTGAGGCAGGAGAATCACTTGAACCTGGGAGGCACAGGTTGCAGTGAGCCAAGATCCCACCCCAACCCCCCCACCCGGGCAACAAAAGTGAAACCCCATCTCAAAAAAAAAAAAAAAAAAAAAATATATATATATACACACACACACACACACACACACACACACACAAAAAGAAGTTTTGTCACAACTAAATAGATTTATGATGTAAAACCTTTATTAAAAGTATTTACTCTTACTTCGGTCGGGCACGGTGGCTCATGCCTGTAATCCCAGCACTTTGGGAGACTAAGGTGGGCGAATCACAAGGTCAGGAGATTGAGACTATCCTGGCTAACACAGTGAAACCCCGTCTCTACTAAAAAATATAAAAAATTACCCAGGCGTGGTGGCACACACCTATAGTCCCAGCTACCTGGGAGGCTGAGGCAGGAGAATCACTTGAACCCAGGAGGCAGAGGTTGTGGTGAGCTGAGATTATGCCATTGCATTCCAGCCTGGGCAACAAGAGTGAAACTCCATCTCAAAAAGAAAAAATACAAAAAGCAGTTCTGTCACAACTAAATTTATGATGTAAACCCTTTTATTATAAGTATTTACTGCTACTTTGGTTGGGCACAGTGGCTCATGCCTGTAATCTCAGCACTTTGGGATGCTAAGGCAGGGGAATCATGAGGTCAGGAGACTGAAACTATCCTGGCTAACACAGTGACACTCCATCTCTACTAAAAAATATAAAAAAGTGCCCAGGCGTGGTGGCACACGCCTATAGTCCCAGCTACTTGGGAGGCTGAGGCAGGAGAATCGCTTGAACCCAGGAGGCAGAGGTTGCGGTGAACTGAGATTGCGCCACTGCACTCCAACCTGGCTGACAAGAGTGAGACTCCACCTCAAAAAAAAAGGATTTACTGTTACTTTAAAATTGTTTTGTGTTTTGTGCTGCTATAATACACTATAAGGAAACTGTACAACTAATGATGGAGACACAGAAAATTTATAGTTGAAAGCTAATTATCTCAGAAACACAGTGCCTCCAAAATGGGCCATTTTGAAGGGCGCCTAACAAAATTTCCAGAGCAATATATTGAAGTATTTCCAAGACTTAAATTTTACTATTAGAAACTGTGTTTAAAATTTCATGGATATTTATCAATAATCCTGAGACAAAATGCTTGCAATTCTGACATAAAAATTTAATCTGACCTTCATATAATAGAAGAATCCCTCAAAATCTCAGAACATTTTCTAATATGTACTCCTTGTTCCTATGTAATTCTATTTTACTTCATGTCAGGGGTTAGATTCACATCTTTTTCTAGTTAAGATGTTACATACATACAGATACACAGATATCTTTATCAAAGTGTTTTCTTATCAAGCACATACATGTAACATACTTTATACTTCATTAACAATAAAAGAAATGCAGGAAACCAACACCAAAATCTGTAGATTGGATCATTTTTAAAGCTTTCCTTTAAAATAGATGTTTATTTGCATAAATAAACATGCTGTTAACAAAAGGATATTCAGCGTCCAAAGTCAAAAATACTTTCAGTTTAAAAAAAAAAAAAAAAAAAAGTCTACAGTATGGTTTTTGTTTTATGGCGAAAAGGAAATAAGAAACAAAGAACTTTTTGTTGTTACACTAATCTTGCTGTGATGGTAAAAGGAGAAAAATATGCTTTCAGCAGATGAAAATCCTGCCAAAATACAGCACTCTGCCAGGGTGATTATTTTACCTTCTGGTATTTGAAATGGACACACTAGGGGGTAGACATCATAATAAAATAAGTAAAATTCACGTAAAAAGAGGGAAAACACAAATATACTAGGTAACAGAGAAGTCTGCAATGTGGCAGAAGCACGTATATCTCTGACTGGGTTTATCTTCATAAGATTCAAAGCCAAACACTCAAAAACTTCTTCTACAAAAGCGAGTGATTTTACAGTACCATTTCCCGAGTGTCACTTATTCCTTCTAATAGTGTTTCACAGAAGGCAACACTGCAAAAGAACCTCTGCTAAATCAGCTAGTTTTGTTTTTTGTTTGTTTTGTTTTTGATACAGGGTCTTGCTCTGTTGTCTAGTACAGTGGGGTAATCACAACTCACTGCAGCCTCAAATTCCTGGACTCAACCGATCCTCCCACCTCAGCCTCCCTACGCTAGGTCTATGGGCATGAACCACCCACACCCACTCCACACATGCTAGTTTTTAAATTTTCTGTAGAAATGGAGTCTCACTATGTTACCAGACTGTTCTCCAACTCCTGGGCTCAGGCAATCCTCCCGCTATGGCCTCCCAAAGTGCTGGGATTGCAGGTGTGAGGCACAGTGCCTTGGCAAGCAAGAGCACTACCACTGGCTCATGCAGTTATCCATCACAGTTTAAAATGCAAAAACTGCTGGCACAGAGACCCTGGGCCACTGGTACGCTTAACTTCTGCTCCACCTTCCTTTAGTGGGAGCGGGCAGGAGCTTAAACCCACATTTCTCAGACTCCCTGGCAGCCTGGGCTCAGGATACACCTGCTAGAGGCTGGAAAGCAGAAGTAGAGCAGAGGCCGCCCGCTGACCCTTTCTGGCTTTTTCTGCTGGTAGAGGGACTGGGGAAACACATGCATATTCTCCAGCTCCCAGGGTGCTACAAGGCAGCAGCATGGACAGAAGCGACCTCTCTCTTCCTGCTTCCTGGATCACAGCTACGGGTATGCCTGGAACTCGGAGTTCTACAGGTGTCCTCAGAGGTGGCACTGCCCCAGTAGCCAGATGTGTGCTGTTCGGACAGTTATTCCTCGAGAGGTAGTCTAGAACCCAGATGTCCCAACAATCCCAAAATCACCTGCGTCCCTACATGAAACCCCTTTCTGCTGAGCTGGAGTGGCTTCTGTTTCTTGTCTAGAGTCCTCATGGATACACAAGTCTAGCCAGGACTTTAATTCATCTAACACCTGAAGAGGAAAAAAATAAACCACCATCCACTTTAGAAATGTAGAAACAGGTCATGCATCTGAACACCTACCCCAGACTTCGCGTCGTAGAGTGTGTGTGTGAGGGTGATTTTGAAAACTGCATGGGATCGGCTACTCTCCTCGTTCATGTTGGTTGCAGCGACTGTGCGAGACTTGTTACCCTCAGACATCAACGACTCAATATCCTAAGTGGAAACAAGTCATAGGTCCACGTTTCATTACTTGTGTAATACACACTAAAACTCTGCTACACCACAAAATGCGTTATAAGTTTTGCTACTTAGTCAACAACATTTGGAGTTAAAAACATTTTGTTTCTCAATGAACGTTGAGCCCCTGCGAGTACAAGAGCCAATACTGTCTCTGAAAACTCAAATAAAAGTACATCATTTGCTACAGGTACAGAAGTGGCAGCTTCGGCTCAAAGTTCAGAAGCTGCAGCTGTTCATCTGCACACAAGATGAACAACTATGCCATACCAGCCCCCATTTAATATAGAAATTTAAAAAAAGAATTTCTTTAATACAGAAGCAATACAAATTTATTGTTAAAAAAATTAGATTATACAAAGAAGCACGCAACTAACTCGTGTTCTTTGTCCCTTCATCCGGGCCTATCACCAACTACCACTATCTTACCAGACCTGTTTGTAAAAATTAGAACCTCAAGAGACTAATTTTCTGCATTGATTTACCACTTGGTTGCTGCTACTACTAAAAAACAGAGACAGTAAAATACAAGAAGAAGATCATGGGATTTTTTTTTTTAAATGTTATAAGCTCTGAAACAGTTAAACCTGGATTTTAGTTGCATTAATAACAATGCAGATCTATGACACCCATCTGCCTCACAAGGATCTTATGAGGAGTGAGAAAAATGGTAATATACGCAAGTTGACTAGATGCTTCCCATTACCCAGTCTTCACTTCCTTCCAGTAAGGATGCCCAAATCTTCAACTTAGCACATCTGGCCGAGCTAACAGACTACATTTCCCAGATGCCCTTGCAGCTCAGTCTAGCCACACGACGTTTTAGTGGATAAGATTTAAAATTAAAATAGGCCATGTGGGAATTTCCCTTAAGGGAGTAGGCATGCTATCATGTGTTGGTTCTGAGAGCCATCTTGAACTAAGGGAATAAGGGCATTACCACCCCACTCTATGCTGACCGCTGGAAGGACTCTAGGTCCCTAATAACACATTTGAGACCACCATACCAGCCCTGGAGAGTCTATCTCCGTATTTCTTTTCCATGAAAAGTCTTGTTTCAATCACCACTCATTCATTCACACTTTCAAATGTATAATGAAAGTACCTACATAGACCAGGTACTTTTCAGACACTGCAGATATACAATGGGCAAAAGAGACAATAATCCGTGTTTCAAAGAACTTAACTCTGTTACATTTTTTAATGTTATATGCAACTGACACAATCCTAACTGACACACATTACCAAAAACTGAAAATCACAGGTTTCTATTAAAACAATGTTTATGAAAAAAATTCAACATGATACATAAAAAGCCTTCAAGTAAAAACATTAGTTGCAAAAGGAAGTAAAAGTGGGCCCCAGAATGGGAAAACAGCAAAAGGTAAAACTCACAATTTTCTACATCTATTCCAAACCCACTGTAGATCCACTAAGTCTAATAACTTTCCATTTAAAAGCAAAATCCTAGTCTATATTTACTCGCTGGTCTCTGATCAACTACCTCATTTTTAGGATTTCTGTAAAAAGTAACTTATTAAGTGATGCTATTATACATTTAATTTTTAAAAATAATAACAAATTAAGCCAAGAAAAAAAACAGCCCCACCCAACTACACTGAATTTAAGTCATTCACATGCAGGATGTTGTTACCTTGTAGCTTGTGACAGCCAGTTTAGAAAGTCCATCCACATAAGGTCCCAACACACTATGCTCTCTGACTTTCAACGTCTGACGGCTTCTGTTCATGAAAAACAAAGAAGTGATTTTTTAACAATAGCCTGTTTCTAAAAAGGACTCAGCTGTGCTCCATAAAAATATACAATGAATTCAAGAAAGACCCCAAATAAATAAAACCAATGGGCTTGATCCCCAAAGAATTTAAACCAAACTTTAAAATCCTCACTTCGAAGGAAACTCCATAATGCGATTAAATATCACATCACTCAAAAGGGTACATTGTGAGATGTCTATTTACTACTGCAAAGAATGCAGAGTCAAATAAATATGAACCATCTATTTGTCTCACACAGAATGTGGTACAAAGAGCAGAAACTCAGTAAATGTTAACTGTGCAAGAAGGGAAAACTACAGACCAGTCTCAGTCATGAAGAGAGACAAAAGACAACAAACTGAATCTAATGATTTCAAAATACAAAATTGGGCTTATCGCAGTGCTTCTAGCTATTGACCATAGGAAAAAAAGATCCATGCACTTGGCTGGGGTAAGTGACTCATGTCTGTAATCCCAGCACTTTGGGGGGTCAAGGCCAAGACAAGCAGATCACTTGAGGTCAGAAGTTCGAAACCAGCCTGGCCAACATGGCAAAAACCCATTTCTACTAAAAATACAAAAATCAGCCAGGTGTGATGGTAGGCACCTGTAATCTCAGCTACTAGGGAGCCTGAGGCAGAAGAATTGCTTAAATCCACGGGGCGGAGGTTGCAGTGAGCCAAGATCACTCCACTGCACTCCAGGCCTAGGCAACAGAGCAAGACTCCAACTCACAAAAAAAAAAAAAAAAAAAAAAAAAAAATCCATGTACTTTCATCACAGCCTAAGGGGGGGGGGGGGCAGGAAGTGTGATCATTTAAATAAATGCATGAAAAAAGATTCAGTAAAATTAAGGCCAGGGTGGTGGCTCACGCCTGTAATACCAGCACTTTGGGAGACCAAGGCAGGTGGATCACCTGAGGTCAGGAGTTCAAGACCAGTGTAGCCAATATGGTAAAACTCCATCTCTACTAAAAGTACAAAAATTAACTGGACGCAGTGGCATGTGCCTGTAATCCCAGCTACTAGGGAGGCTGAGGCAGGAGAACTGCATGAGCCCAGGAGGCAGAGGCTGCAATGAGTCGAGATTGCGCCACTGCACTCCAGCCTGGGTGACAGAGCAAGACTCTGTCTCAAAAAAAAAAAAAAAAATTAAATTAAAATTAAATATTCATAAATTTAAAAAAAAACCCTCTTAACAAACAAGGAATTAATAAACTCAACAAAGAACATCTGAGAAAAATGTAGAGCACAGATAGCATACTTAATGATATAAACCAAAAATATTACGAATATTTGTTAAAGTATCTGTCAAAGGGTACAAAGTTTGCACTAGGAGGAATATGTTGAGATCTACTGCACAGCATGGTGACTACAGTCAATAACATAATGTGTATTTCAAAACTGCTGAGTAGATTTCAAATGTCTGCACCGCAAAAAAAAAAAAAAAAAGGTAAGTGTGTGAGGTGATGGATATGTTAATTAGCTTGATACAATCATTCCATAATATACACATGATCAAAACACATTGTACTCCATAAACATATATAATTCTCATTTGTCAATTAAAAATCAAATTCTAAGAGTATTTGTTAATAAGATAAATGGTGATTTTCATATTTTTGTTTATCCTTATTTTATACCACAAATGTGTGTCCATTTTTGAACTACACAAAATCTTGTTTTTTAAAATAAGTAATACATTATAACGCTTAAAGTTTTGTTTGTTTTTCTGAAACAGAGTCTCACTCTATTGCCCAGGCTGGACTGCAGTACCACGATCTCAGCTCACTGCAACCTCCGCCTCCTGGGTCCAAGCGGTTTTCCTGCTTCAGCCTCCCGAGTAGCTTGGATTACAGGTATGCACCACCACACCCAGCTAATTTTTATATTTTTGGTTGATGCGGGGTTTTGCCATGTTGGCCAGGCTAGTCTTGAATTCCTGACCCCAAGTGACCGGCCCACCTCGGCCTTTCAAAGTGCTGGGATTACAAACGTGAGCCACCGCGCCCAGCCAATGTTTAGAGTTTTTTGGTGGTTCTTTGATGCCTGTGAAGAGAGGTGCATACTCCTCAGCTTGATATAAACGCTCCTTTATAATCTGTTCTTGACCACCTCTTAAGTCAGATTCTCCTAATCCTTACCTTAGGCAGGAATTAATTTACTTTTGTCCATTTATACTATAATAAACTTCGGGCTCTAGAATAGCAAGAATAATGTCTCACTACTTTGGGAGCCTGAAGTTCCTAGCACAAGTCCTGGCACGTAAGTAACACTAGGTGAACGAGCAAACTTTGCTAACAAAGTGCAGATGAGCGAGATTAAGGTGACAAAGAGGACTCCACATGTGTTAGCTTCTGTGATTGGGGAGAGTGCTAGGAACTAAGAAGGCAGGAGAGGAAGGGAAGAAATGTAGAACACATACAGTGAATGACTAGCACAGAAACTGAACCACACTCAATCACGAATGCCCACAATAAAGAAAGCACGTAGAGGAAAGTTCTAGAACAACCCTTCATATCACCAGTGAAATTAGGGGATAAGGAAATGGCTGTTAAATCTAAGATCTATAGTGCCCTAAGATCAACCGCTAAAAATGTCACTTATTACCATGTAACTCTTGATAAAGTAGATACAGAATATCTGATTTACTTCTCACCTAGCATATTTTCTACTATCCTTTCATATTTCCTCTTAATGTATCCTCTGTCATCTCCTGATTAAAACAAATTGCTATATACTAGATGCTGAATTAATATATTCAGTACTAGCATGAAAAAATGAAGTTTTCTCAAATGGTCTTTTACTGAAATGAGATCACCTTTAGAGTTTTTAATCCATTTACTCTGACTCTTCAGAAACTGAAAAAAAAATATTTCCCGGGAATTTTCACTGGGGAGATAGAGCAGCAGCTTATTGACCACTTACTGTACGCCAGCAAATATTCTAAGACCTCAGGTGTATCATCCCCGTCTATCTTCACCCCAGCCCTCTGAGGTAAATGTATCCTGTCATTCCCTTCTCCAAGTTCCCTCTAGGCTCACAAGTTAGGCCTGGAAAGCCTAACAAACCTGCTGAATAGGAAACAATTAGAGGACCCAGATGGACAGCTATTCAAATTCCAAGCTCTTTGGAATTTGCTGTTAATTACTGTAAGTAATTACTGTAAGTAAGCTGTTAATTACTAACCTATATACAAGACAAATATAGAAGAAATTACTAAAGACTGTACACATGCAGATAAGTTCAAAAGATACCATACAAGCACTGTGGATTAAGCACAAGAACGAACAGATATTAAGTCAGTCAGCTAAGAATTTCTGGAAAGAGTAGGTCTGGGCTGGATCTCAGAAAACTGATGACCTTCGCAGAGGTCAAAGTCCAAAAAAAAAAAAGTATTCCAGGCAGAAGAAAAAAAATATGCAATGGTATAATATTAAGTAGGATGTGGGAACCTGGGCCGTAAGGTACTCCCTGGCCTCTTTGTTTTAGAACATTTTTTATTTCTTATTTCATTTGAGACAGGATCTCTCGTCCTATCACCTAGGCTGGCATGCAGTGGTACAGCCTCGGCTCACTGAAGCCTGGGTTCAAGTGATCCTCCTGCCTTGGCTTTCTTTTGTTCCATGTTGACTTCTGTGCATCCTACTCTCCGACCACACTCAGCTGCTGGATCATTCTCCAAAGGTGATTAATTTACACCTTCAAAGTGCCAGAGGTTGTTCCCTATGCCTGAGAAGTTCTCACCCAACTTCCCAGTGGACAGACTTCCCACTCAGCATGAAAGTTATCAAGGAAATACACTCTATAGAATCTTCCCTTCTCCTCAGAGCAATATCAGTTATGGTCTCTTTGCTCTCTAATTTGTAGACGCCTCCTTCACAACTTAAAAGCTGATTATGATGTATTTTAATTATTTGTTTACAAAACTCTCATTCTGTCCACACTGTGAACGCTTGCATAGTGCCTGCAATATAATGATCCCTCAGTAAATGTTTGTTAAGTAAAGTTTGTATAGAAGCACTGAGCATCAATTCAGTCTCCCTGTGAGAACCCTGAAGATTATCATCTTGGTCAAGGAAAACTGACAACAGAGAGGAGCTGAGGGTTCTGTTTGCTCTTGACTGAAATTCACTAAGATTCACTGCCTCGAAGATCCTCTTTCCTTGATCATCTTCCTCATCCAGCAAAACTAAATGTCCTCCTGTTGTCCTCGAAACTTTCTGCAGGCCTCACCTTATTTGGCTCTTTGACCTTCCTAATACTGTTTTTACATCGACAAGCCACAAGCTGTGGTCATTATCTCCATCTCTCTCCACTGTTGCGCTTCCTTAAAATCTGAACTCGAGGAAGTCTCGGTGAATGAACAGATTTCTAGATACCTCGCACTTCCTCATTGACCTACAGCTGTAGAGTCAAACCAGCGTTTGTGAAGGCCTCCTAAGACTTCTGACACAATTCTCTTTCAAAGTCTGTGCCATGAAATCAAGGCCACTTTTTTTTGTTCCTGAGAATCTTTAAAAATTCACTGTCCTTAAGACCAGGTTTCACTCTCTAATTATGCCTTTCCCTCACCTCACAGCCTGCAAACAAAAAACCGAATTCCACCTGAAATGTCTTGGTTTAAAAAAAAAAAAACTCGAGTCCAGGAGTTCAAGGCTGCAGTAAGCTGTGGTCATGTCACTGCACTGAAACCTGGGTGACAGAGTGAGACCCTGTCTCTAAAAATAAATAAATAAGATTTGCACTTAAGCCTATTTAAGTCTGTTTTAATTCACAATGCTAAAACACTAAAGTCTGAAAGTCGTTTACCCTTTGGGATCAAGGAGGTCTCGAACTTTTTCATTATAAATTTCCATGTAGGACACTTCTACTTTAAAACTCTGCTCTTCATTTTCCTCTTTCTGAGTTCGTTCAAAGAGTCCACTGCAAAGTCTTGGGATTAATCCCGGTTGGTCAGCTGTGCCCATCATGGTATAAGATTTTCCAGATCCTAAAAAAACGGAAATCAGAGTTACTATTGTCTCTTTGAGAAGTGAAATACATAACCCTCTTTCTATTTCTCCTAATAAATTATAAACACTCAGCAAAATATCAAAATGCAGTAAGAAACATACCCAAATATAATGAGAACAAGTACAGAAGCTTTCTTACTGCACATGCGAAAGTGAAAAGCAACTGTCCTTTAGAAAGAAAAATAAACTTCTTTTAACATCTTCATACTTTTAAAAAATACCTCAAACAACTGAGAAATAGTGAGGTGTAAAAGTTTTCTGAAATAAACTGGAAGGGCCATTAATTAATGCTATCACGCCTGCTCCCAACCAGTGATTATTGCACAAAAAATACAGGTTCTCCCTCTGGACCCCAGAGCAAATTAGCTCACTACCCTTTCACTCTAGTGTGGAAACTAAAGAATACTCTTCTTTTTCTTACATAAAATTATTTTCTTGGCTGGGCGTGGTGGCTCATGCCAGCTCACACCTGTAATCCCAACACTTTGGGAGGCCCAGGGGGGTGGATCGCCTGAGTTCAGGAGTTCAAGACCAGCCTGGCCAACATGTTACCTCATCTCTATTAAAAATACAAAACCCTATCTCTACTAAAAATACAAAAAAAAATTAGCTGGGCATGGTGGCACAAGCCTGTAATCCCAGCTACTCAGGAGGCTGAGGCAGGATAATCACTTGAACCTGGGAGGCAGAGGCTGCAGTGAGCCAAGATCGTGCCACTACACTCCAGCCTGGAAGACAGAGCAAGACTATTTCAAAAAAAAAAAAAAAAAAAAAAAAAAATTATTTTCTCCATTGTAAAATACAAAGAAAAATTAGAAAACACAGGAAAATAGAAAAAACGTACATTACCATAGTCCTACCACCCTAAAACAAATAACTATTGATACTTAAGTATAATTCCTTTTGTTTTTAGTAGCAGTGTTTTTGTAAATATCCTTTTAAACCACAAGTTGCTGCTTTTTGTCACGCACCATTTTATTATAATACCTAAAGCTAATGTGCCACACTCCCTAAGTCCCAGGACTTTTGTAAAAAGTTTGCACAATGTGAACTCGTTATGACAACCCTACAAGAAGGTCTATGATCATCAGCCTGTGCAGGTAAGAAGACTGAAGGGCAGAGACGTTAAATAACTGTCCAGGTCTCTCCACTGGCCAGCTGCAGGAGCAGGGCTGGAGCTGTCACTGCCTGGCCCAGCTTTCTGCTCTTTCAGCACGACACACAAGGCTTCTTGGAAACATCCAATGCATTCTTCGGTGAGAACATTTCCAGGTAGACAAGATGATGCTTTACTCTCACAAAAGTAACCAGTTTACTTCAGACAGATTTTCTTTTCTTGACCAGAGAAGCAAAAGTCAACCAGTTTATTAGTTATTACTGTGAGATATTAACCAGTTCGTTCTTTGTGGTATTTTTTCTGTTATGATTCTTAAAGCCTTAAAAAAGTACGATGTATGGGCATGGCTCATAATATGTTCAACAGTCATAGCTCTGTATTTTTTTTTTTTGAAAAACAACCCAGCCAGTGCCTTGTGAGAAAAATGAGTAAAGAAAAAAGATCCCAATCCTAATTACACCCATTTAAAAACAATGTTATTGACTACTTTCAACATCTACAGTACTTTCTGAAAACAAAAATAACAAGGAATCATCAATGTTACTCAGTAAAATAAACATGGTTCTATTTTCTCTTTCACTGACGGTTGTTTATGTGATTTCATGTTATTTACCAGTCTGTCCATAGGCAAAGATACATGCATTGTAGCCATCAAAAGCATTCTGCAGGATATTTTCCCCAAGGCACTTGAAAACAGTATCTTGACCTTACAGGGAGAGAATAACAGACGCGATTTTTAGCCAAAACTACATATGAACAATTCACAAAACAAAAACAAACAAAAATCTCCAAAATGTATAATCAGCTTATTTATCTTCAAACAAGATTTTTTAATTTGATGAATGCTCCCAAAGGCTTATGCCTCCCAGGTTATTTCTAGTTAGCACATGATGGAAAACTTAGTGAAAAGCTCCCTGTACTACGTACTTGAATAAACACTACTAAAAATCCACTGCAATGCAGAACCAACGAGCCGCTCATTTTATATTCAATGATTATAAATATCTGAAATTTATACTTGGGACCCAAGTGTACCTGAATTCAACTAGGCACCCCTCAGCCAATACTTTCATTTAGTGGGTACCAGAGTTCAAATAATCATATATACCAATCCCCTCTCCTTTTCCTCAATGAAAATTTCTAATTACAGGATCTACAATACATACCAGTTAGGCCAGGGAGTCGGAGCCTGGAAATTTCCCTCGGCTTTCAATCACGGACATAAAGACTAGAGTCAAGCTCTCCCCAACAGGCCAAATGACATATGTCAATAGTGAATATGTCAATAGTGAATCTGCCAAGTCACCCTACCTCACTTAGTCTCAATACCATACGGAAGAACTGGATGCTTTTATGTTAAGACAAGGATATTCCAGTATGTCTCACTTCCTAGTTTTTGGGGGGCTTTTTTTTAACGAGTTAACTTACCATACATACTTCTGATACTGTGCCATCTAAACCAAATGAATCTTAACTTCAAAACAGGCATACTATGCATCTTTCTCCTAACAGAAGCCAAAACAAAATGATGCTTAATGTTTACAATAGGTTGTTTAAAAACAGGTGACAAAAGCAGCTGGGCAAAAAGGCAATCAAAGGCTGTCACTGTAGTCCTAAACTTGTGATGAGATGGGCTTTGAGGCAGTCATCATTTAGAAGAATAGAGTAACGGACTTGCAGAGCAAAAAGAAAACTCAGAGAGAATATGGTATATTCTTCTCCATCACAGAGAAAACAAAAGCTCTGACAGGTGAGGTGATTTACGGAAAGGCGCAGAGGCGGTGAGGAGCCTAGGGTTCCTTTTCTCCTTGGCCAGTGCTCCTCTTCTATCACTATGCCATCCTGCCTCTCCAGCCCAGTCTCAGGCCTCCAGGGCAATCTAAGGGGCGACTGTGTGCTCTGGGCCTCATGTGAGGCCTGGGGCGTGTGAGTGTGGAATAACCACTGTGTGCACTAGTCATGTTGTATCATCAACTCATACCAAGAACGGCACACGGTGATCTCCCATTCTCCAATCAACATTAAAAACTAATAGCAGATGGGGCACGATGGCTCACACCTGTAATCCCAGCACTATGGGAGGCCGAGGCAGGCAGATCACGAGGTCAGGAGATTGGGACCACCCTGGCTAACATGGTGAAACCCCGTCTCCACTAAAAATACAAAACATCAGCTGAGTGTAGTGGCACACGCCTGTAGTCCCAGCTACTCAAGAGAGTGAAGAAGGAGAATTGCTTCAACCTGGGAGGCTGAGGTTGCAGTGAGCCGAGATAATGGCACTCCAGCCTGGGCAACAAGAGCGAAAACAAAACCTCTAATACACGGGAGGGTATTGTTTGTCATTTCTAAAGTTATGCAAAATAACCCTGCGGTAATCATATATACCCTATGGAGATTATGTAGCTATAGGTTACCATCCACATGTTGCAGTCTTTTTACATTGCTGGGGCACTTTAGGCCTGAGGAAACAATCTGATCTTCTGACCTCCTTTTACCTGCCTGAGGCAAGACTCTCATCTGATTGTGGGTCAAGAGCTTCTCATTCCACAAGGTCCTGCACCTCCTATCTTGGAGGAAGGAATGCTACACAGAATGGCCAAGAAAGTCTGAAGAAACAGGACTTGCTGTGTTCAGATCATGCACATTTTGTCCAATCACATTTCTAAATGGTTGACAATCATACCTATGTAAGGAAGCCTCCATAAAAACTAAAAGGGCAGGCACGGTTCAGAGAGCTTCTGGATTGCTGAACACACAGAGGCCAACAGGAAGGTGAGAAATCCACATGCCAGGAGGGCACGGGCCACCTCCACGGGGACAGAAGCTCCTGTACTTGGGACCCTTCCAGACCCCGCCCTCTCTATCTCTTCATCTGGCTGTTTGTGTCCTTTAAAAATAATTCCTCATGATAAACCAGTAAACATGAGTGTTTCCCTGAGTTCTGTGAGCTGCTCTAGCAAATTAATCAAACCCAAAGAGGGGGTTGTGGGAACCCCAATTGGAAGCCGGTCAGTAAGAAGTTCTAGACGCCTGGACCTGCGCTGGTGGGAAGGAGGGCGCAGTCTTGTGGGACTGAGCCCTCAGTCTGTGGATCTGACGCTGTTCCCAGGTAGACAGCAGCAGAACTGAGTTGGAGGATGCCCGGCCAGCGTCTGCTGCTTGGGGTGCAGGGAAAAACCCCCCATATTTGGTCACATTAAGTTATCTTCTATGCCAATGATTGTTACTGTGGTGTGACAGTGGAGGAAAAATGCAGTTTGGGGGGTCTGCCAAGCAATCATGTACAGGAAAAAAAATACTTAATACCCTATAGTTGACAGGATGCTGGATTCTATTACCTGCATACTTTTCTTTGACAGATTCATCCATAGACCAGAAACAATGATCATAAGCAAAAGCCTGTTGAAAGTAAACATAAGTGTGCATTAAGAAAACCTTAACATTATTTATAATATCATAACGGATAGAACTGTTCATAATAGTGAAATAAAGCAACTTATTGTCATACACTGAGAATTAATTATGTATGTGCAGGCTTACAATGACAACTAGACACCCTATAGTTGATATTACGCTGTATTTTACTTGGAAAACTATTCACAATATTAAGTGACAAAAGAGGTTACAAAACAAAATGTGTCATAAAATGGCTACTGCACACACACTTGCACCTACAGTCACACACGCAGAGTTAAAGCTATAAAGTTTATTTTTTTGCAGTGAAATTAGTGATCTTTGTTTTCTTTATGCTTTTATATTTTCTCAGTATTTTTATTTTTGTGGTCAAAGAAAAAGATATCTTACTTGGTGGGATCTTACAGATGATCTGTTTTGCCATTTTGCCTTATCACCACTTTCGAGAATATCACAGGGTTCTTCTGCACTGTTTTAAAAGCTTCTTTTCCCTAATTATTTCTTTTTCTTTAAACCAACTAAGCAAAGGCAAATTTTTCAATGACTGCATCTTTCACTTTTTGGATTTCTGCTGGTTTCATACCTACTTATTTGTGTTTTGTGATTTTTATCTCCTTCAAGATTTTAAGTGCAATTGTTTTACAATGTATTTCAGTTGATTTTTTGTCACTCTCTCCCACTTTGGGAGGGTGATGCTATGCTTCCTGATGATGGTGTGTATGCTAGCGTGCAGGAACATCTGAGCAGGGAGTGTGTATTTTATGGTTTACACGACTGCTTCTTTTTTCCTCTCTTGATGGTCACCTTTCCATGACTGGTTTATGCTGTCATTTCCAACACCAAAGCCCAGATTTTGGTCTTCTCAAGGCCCAATGTCTCTATCCCTTCCTTTTAACACAGACATTAGCTCACTGCTGGTGGCCAAACACTGACTTGAAGCCTTCATTCACAGAGAAGCCTCACCCAAATCAGTTTTCAGATGGTGAGCTTGGCTCCAGTCCCCAACCACACACCAGGGCCCCCATCAGTCGGCCAGAGTTGAACTTCCAATCACCTCCAGGTGCCTGCCCGATTCCAAAGTCCAGGAATGTCACTTCAGCCCTTGCTTACTGCTGGTTCTTGAAGTCATATATGTTGCTGTTGTGTTTTTCTAATTTTCTGTAGAGATGGAGTCTCACTATGTTCCCCAGGATGTGCTCAAATGCCTGGCTTCAAGCAATCCTCCATCCTCAGCCTCCCAAATACTGAGATTACAGCTGTGAGCCACCATGCCCGGCCATTATATGTTGTTTTTGAGTATGATGACATGATTTTAACATGTTAAAATATGTTATCTGTTCCAGCTACTCCGGAGGCTGGGGCAGGAGAACTGCTTGAACCCGGGAGGCGGAGGTTGCAGTGAGCTGAGGTCGCGCCACTGCATGCCAGCCTGGCGCCTGGTGACGGAATGAGACTCTATCTCGAAAAAAAAAAAAAAAAAAAAAAAAAAAAATATATATATATATATATATATATATATATATATATATATGTATATGTTATCTGTCCCTGCTATCATTTTGGTGTTGGTAGGAGAATGTCTCCATGTGAACTCACAAGATTATCTGGACCAGAAGTCTAAAGACTAATTTTTTTTTAAGAAAGAAAATTAGGTTAAGATGGTAAATTAAGAATGAATACTAATATCCATTGCCCAACTAAAATCAACTCAAAATAACAGGGGGTAGGGGAAATGGGGAAAAAGGGACGGATGGGCGGGGGGTGGAGGGGCGAGAAGAACAAGTTTTTGAAAGCAAGAGTGCTTGCTTGTGCCAGGGTAAGAATTGAGAAACTCCTAAAAAAATAGTTCCCGTGAAACTGACGGGGGTAACAGTGGGGCCTACAGGGAGAACATAGGCTGCGAAGCCAGTGAGCAGTTCTGGGAGGTACCAGGAGGACAAGCAAAGGGGCAGGGAGACAACCCCGGCAGCAACCGAGAGGATGACTGGTCAGCACCTCTGGACAGGTGAGGGTCTGCACACCCATGTCTGTGTCAAACAGCAGGCAGGGGAGACGCCTGTTCCCTGGATGGGGCAGTGAGGAGGAAGTGAGGCCAGGGAGTGAAAGCAGATGCCAGGGAGTGACAGGGAGGCCAGGATGTGACAGCCCCCGAGAGCCCTTGGGCCCAGAAGATGTCATCTGGCTGCAGTGCTGTGTCCCACACTGCTCACCCTCCATGTCTTTCCAAAGCTAAACGTACATCTATCAGCACTGGTGGCTCACTAAGCCATTTCCAACCAGAGAGAAACCAAAGGAGGAAGACAGAAGACGAACCCAAAAGGACCAGGCCTCACACTGTTTGGGAGGAGCTGCCTTGCAAACTCCATGTGTCACCCACGGCGAGAGCCAGTACAGCAGAGTAAGATTACATAAAACGTGGAGGTCAAACCAAGCTTCGCCTACTCTAACTTTCCACACTCACCTCCACAATTTTATTTAATGCTGTTCTTAGTAAGGCTAAGTAGAAACCATCCTGATTCTTTCTTGTAAGTTTAGTTCTCACTTCAAAAGCCCTGTCACCGCACGTGTAGACAGTTATCCCTCATCATCCTGAGGAGGACTGCTTCCAGGACCTCCCATGAATACTTAAATTCGAGGATGTCCAAGTCCCTTATAGAAAATGGTGCAGTACTCAACGTGTAACCCACATGTGTCCTCCCCTATATTTCAAACCATCTCTAGATTACTCAAAACACCTGAGACGATGTAGATGCTAAGGCCAATAGCTGTTATACTGTACTGCTTTTTAAATTTTTATTTTTTACTGTTGTATTATTTTTCATTGTTTTTTCAAAAACTATTTTCAATCCAAGGTTGGTTGAACGCACAGATGTGAAACCAGCAGATAAAGAAGGCCGTCTGTATATTTATCAGAGATAGGCTCTAAATGGCACTCTCCTGTCCATTATTATTGGTTTGTTTTTTTTTTTTTTAACTTGTCTTTCTTTTAGGGATATTTTTAACAATGACATTTCTTATTCCCAATTTGAGTTGAGAGGCTATCACCAAAGTAGCCATAACCGAGGTAAGCCTGTGTGCTCAACACTGTTCAAAGGAACCTAAGGAACAAAGAAGGTAAGCACCTTGCAGCTTGCAGGTGGGCGAGGTGGGATTCCAGCCACATCTGGCCCTAAGCTCCCTCCTCTGCACCGCAAGCCTGGCCCAGATCCATTGCCCACTATGAAAGTGCCACAGCCTGGCACAAAGTTGGGGACTAATAAACATTTACTTCTTCTTTACTACAGCACTAAATGGTCCTCTTTAAGGTTTAGCAATTTTATAAAATATTATAGGTATCTTCCAGGCAAAGATTTCATAAGGCGGACAAGTAAACACTGTAATGAATTCAAATAACATAGAAGCATAAAGGAAAGATCAAGGTCTCTCCATTCCACAAGTATACCTCTCCCCAGAGGTAACACTGTGGTGTTTCATCTCCCATGTGTTTTAGTCAGCCAGCATTTTCTCGAATCATGCAACTGAATCAAATAAAACATGGACAATTTATAAATCAACAGGCAATGGTTCCTTCATATCTTCACGGCAACCTCCAGCCTCTGCAGCAAAAAAATTTAAAAAAGCAGTTGAGTGCGGTGGCCCAGGCCTGTAATCCCAGCACTTTGGGAGGCTGAGGCAGGTGGATCATTTGAGATCAGGAGTTAAAGACCAGCCTGGCCAACATGGTGAAGCCCTGTCTCTACCAAAATACAAAACACAGCCAGACGTGGTGGCAGGTGCCTGTAATTCCAGGTACTCAGGAAGCTGAGGGAGGAGAATCGCTTGAACCCGGGATGCAGAGGTTGCAGTGGGCAGAGATCACGCCACTGCACTCCAGCCTGGGCAACAGAGTAAGACTCTGTCTCAAAAAATAAATAAATAAAAATGAGAAACAAAAATAATCCAGCACCTTTTCAGTAGAAAAGATGAGGGAAAGTTTACATATATAAAGAAACCAGTGCCCTATTCAACTTTTTAAAAATAACATTTTATACTGACAGAATGCCTTTTTTTTTTTTTTTTGGTCATTCAGTTCCTATGGCCTAGGGGTTAGGGGAAAAAAATTTAATAAATGATTTTTAAAAAAAGAGACCTGGCTGGGCGCAGCGGCTCATGCCTGTAATCCCAGCACTTTGGGAGTCCCAGGCAGATAGATCACGAGGTCAAGAGATCAAGACCATCCTGGTCAACATGGTGAAACCCCATCTCTACTAAAAGTACAAAAATTAGCTGAGCATGGTGGTGCATGCCTGTAGTCCCAGCTACTCAGGAGGCTGAGGCAGGAGAATTGCTTGAACCCAGGAGGCAGAGGTTGCAGTGAGCCAAGATCGCGCCATTGCACTCCAGCCTGGGTAACGAGCGAAACCCCGTTTCAATTTAAAAAAAAAAAAAAAAAAAGTCAGAGACCCAAACAGCCATGTCTGTAATAAACATTTTAGCAATAATAATAGAGAACTGAATTACAATTCAGCCACGGACTCTAAAAGAAAAAATCCCAAGAATGGAGATAAAAATCTACATTTCCTGGGCATTCCAAGTGACTTCATGGTCAGTTAAGAAACACAGTCTAAGTGCCCACTTCAGCAGTGCTCCACATTCCCCAAGAGACAGAGGTGAAAAAGTATGTTCCCTTGAGGTGGCTGTGGCCGTGCAGGTTTCTATTGGCTGGAATGCACCCCCAGCTGTCTCAGAGCCAGGAGGATGAGTCGGCTTTGACCTCGGTTTGGAACTACCAGTCTTGAGCCAATGTATGGAGGCAGCTTGATGCCGCCCAGGTTTCTGTTGGCCAGGAATGCATCCCTAACTGTCTTGGGAGCCGGGAGGATGAGTCGGCTTTGACCGCAGTTTGGAACTACCAGTCTTGAGCCAATCTATGGCACAAATGGAATCTGTGTTGTAGCTGCTAGACCGGCCAGAATTGGTCAAAGTGCAAATATAGCTTTTCCATAAACCTCTGGCCCTTTCCAGAAATGGCTTCAGATTTCTGAGTAGGCTGACGGCTTGCATTACTTGTATAACATGACAGAAAGTATTTTCCTTGTTGAGAGGGAAACTTCTAAGAGTTCAAAAACAAGCACATAAGATCTTCATAGGCATCGTATAACAAACCAAGTCTCTTACCTTTGGCTGGCCCCTGAGCTCCCAAGAGATGTCATCATTAACGTGAAAGAAAAGTTAAAAAAAAAAAAATGTTAGAAGACTCTTTTTGAAGGGTAAAATAATAAACATTACGTAAATTCACAGTAAGAATATAAAATACTACCTTTGAAGCCACGTAGTAATTTAAAGGATAAATAAATGTCTATTAGCTAGTAAGATGGTCTGCTAATCACAGACAACTAATTTGTGTCTCTAGGAGGAGGACTGAGCACTGGATAACTGGAACAGACCTAATATTTCTGCCTTATAGATTTTGCTTTTATCTTTGTGTATGTCTTATAAATATATATTTTTTAGTCTTTTACTTTTTTATCATCTGGTTTCAGTTCCAAGTAGTTTTCTCTGCTTTGAAAAAGCAACAGCCTACTCTCTTATCTGTACAGGCTCTACTACAAAACAATGAATGCTATTCTGGCTGAGGAAAAAACTCTAAATTAAAGAAACCAGTAATTTCTTGCCAGTGAGTTAATACAGCTGAGTATCCCTCATCCAAAATGCTTGAAGTGCTTCGGGCTTCCTATTTTTTTCCGGATGTGGGAATACTTGCATTATGCTTAATGGTTGAGCAACCCAAATCCGAAAATCCAAATTCCAAAATGCTCCAATAAGCATTTTGTTGGAGTGTCACGTGGGTACTCAAAAAGTTCCAAAATCTGGAGCATTTTGAATTTTCTATTGGATGCTCAGCCTATACTTACTGAATTACTCGCTACTTCTTCCTCTCTGCACACACAAGCACTTCTAGCCTCCCGCCTTCCTCCCACTGAAACTGCCATTCACTGACATCTCCCTCAGGGGACAGGAAAATAACTCAGGGTATCTGTCAGTGGAATCCTGAGATAGTTTCAAACTTAGAGAAAAGTGGTGAAAAGTACAATGAACACCCATAGACCTTCCCCCCAATTCACTAATTGTTAATACTGCCATGACTGCTTTTCTCTTTCTCCTTCCCTCTCCCCCAGGCCCCAGGATTTATATGGATAAATACACACATATATATCTTCTTTTTGCTGAACCATTTGAGGGTAACTTGAAGACATGCCTCTTTAACAACTGTGGTGTCCAAGAGAGAGAATACAAACATGGGTTTGTGGTTTCTGTTTCCGGTTGGACCAGCGAAGCCCCTTCCTCATCCCTCTTTTCTGCTTATCACTAGAGAGAGAAACTAAAAACCATGGCTTCAGGCTGTTAAAAGCCTAAAACAAAACAAAACACCACCACAACAAACTAAGAACACCAGCACAACAAACTAAGAACACCATCACAACAAACTAAGGCAGGTTGGACAAGCTTTTCTAAACTTCCTAACAATGACCATGTTCACTTACTTAATAACAGGGTGATACTGAAATCAGACCATTTAAGAATAAAGGGAAGTACTTTTGAAACCAGAATAAAATAGGAACAATAATAACTGGCCCTCCTCAGAGGATCAAAACTCCAATTTTCAGGGCCTGAAACCTGAAAGAAAACTGTACATGAAAACGTTTCCTTCCAATTGTCTTCTACCATCTCTTTGTCTCCGTCTCCTAAGACTTTCTTCTGAAAGAAATTTCATACTTACTTGTATCAAATGATTTTAGACAAGAACATTAAAACACCACAGAAAGTCTAGCAAATGAGTGACACCCGTCTAAGAGATTTTGGAGTAATATACAATGTGGTAAATACATAAAAGAAAATAATATCTCTGGAGTAAGAAAGTAAGAGATGTGGAAGAACTTCCTGACAAGAAGTCGTCTGAAATGCGTATACAATGCTGGCAGAAACCTCTCTGGAAAATAGTATAGACATTTCTTTTGTGAGACAAAGGTTTCACTCTTGTCACCCAAGCTGGAGTGCAGTGACAGGATCTCAGCTCACTGCAATCTCCATCTCCTGGGTTCAAGCGATTCTCCAGCCTCAGCCTCCCAAGTAGCTAGGATTACAGGCATGCAACACCAGGCTCAGCTAATTTTTTGCATTTTCAGTAGAGAAGGAGTTTCATCATGTTGGCCAGGCTGGTTTCAAACTCTAGACCTTAAGTGATCTGTCCGACTCGGCCTCCCACAATGCTGGGATTACAGGCGTGAGCCACTGCGCCCGGCCAGAGATTTCATAAGAAACTAAAAGCAGATCAACCATTCAGTCCCACTACTGGTGTGTACCCAAAGGAAAAGAAGTCATTATGTCACATGCATACGTACGCTTATTGTAACACAATTTCCAACTGCAAAGACCTGGAACCAACCTAAGTGCCCACTGGCCAGTAAGTGGATAAAGAAAATGTGGTATATATATGCCATGGAATACTACTCAGTTGTAAAAGGAATGAAATCATGTCTTTTGCAGCACTCTTGGATGGAGTTGGAGGCCACTCTTCTAAATGGAGTAACTCAGGAACGGAAAACCAAATCTTTCATGTTCTTATTAATAGGTGGGAGTTAAGCTATGAGCATGCACAGGCATACAGAGTGATATAATGAACTTTGGAGCCTCAGAAGATGGGGAGTGGGAGGGGGGAGGGATAAAGAGATTACATATTGGGTACAATGTACACTACTTAGGTGAGGGATACACTAAAATCTCAGAAGTTCCCACTATATAACTCATCCATGTAACCAAAAATCATTTATACCCCAAAAGCTATTAAAATAAAAATAAATGTTTTAAAAGATAGAAACAAGTTTTTGAAAATGAAAAAAAAAAGATTTCTGAAATATTGAAGAGGTTACTGACATGCTATCATCTTTTTATGGTCTTTATAAACAAAGCAGATTCTCATCAATTGCAGATGGCTCTGTTATAAACCTAGAGGGAGGTAAGAAGACAATTCAACATGGATGAAAGGCCCCACTTCAGGCCAGGTGCATTGCTACTCACTCCCTTCTCACAGTAACTTTGCAACATAATATTAGGACTCCAGTTTTACAGATGCAAAAAATAAGGCTCAGAAAAGTCAACCCATTTAGCTCATACTACAGGTTGAACATCCCTAAACTGAAAATCCAAAATCTGAAATGCTCCAAAATCGGAAACATCTTGAGCAGCAACATGATGCTCAAATGGTCACGTTCAAAGGAAATGCTCATTGTGTGAGTATAATGCAAATATTCCAAAATCCAAAAAAAAATCCCAATCCAAAACATTTCCCAAGCATTTTGGATAGGGATACTCAACCTGTGATAAGCAGGATGGATCTGGGATTGAAAACTAGGTCTTCTGACTCCCAAAGTCTAGGCTCTTGCCCACACTGATCAAAATACTCTCAACTTAATCTATGAGTCACACATTAACCACTCGTCCTGCTAACAGAAACATTTGCCAATGTATTAATTTCTCCCATTCTAATGATTATCTAAGAAAAGGTTAGCACTTGGTACTTATGCCAGAGTACATTTACTTTTCACTGTATTTATAGAAACTCCAAAGTGTCTTTTGTGAGGCGAAAATATATATTATGATATTTCAAGTTTAAATAAAACATTTTTATGCAAAAAGTATCAACTCTTCCTAAGAGACAAAGAAGTATGAAATTCACTAACATATGACACACAGTAGAAGAATCCATGGAACTAACCTGAATTCACATCATCATAATAAAAACAGAAACCAGTAAATTAATTACAGAGCTAAGTTTGCAGCTAGGGATTCTAGTGGCTATGACAGTAAAGCTCAAATAACCTGCACAGGCATGGGACACCCAAAGATGTAATTACAGCCCTGTACAAAAATAAGTAAATTAATTAAACAAAACCTTGTCAGAGTGTAGCTGGAATTCAATACAGCCATGTCTCACTCATCCCAAGGTCCCTTAATTAGAAACCTCAACTCTCCAGATCACCGTGGATATTCAGGAAGCAAAACCAGCTGCTGACCAATCCAGAGAAACATCTCAAAGTACAAGCACTAAAGCTGTAATTTCTCAGCTGAATTGAATTATTTTTGTTGTTGTTGTTCTTAACTTCATTTTGAAATACTTTCAGACTCAGACAAAGCTCCAAAAATAGTACCAACAAATTCCTGTACACCCTTCTTCTCCAAGCTTTCCCAATGTTAACGTTCCCCAAATGTTTCTTAGATCACTACAGCTACAATGGCCAAAACAAGGAAATTAACCATCAACACAGTTTATTAAATAACCTACAGCCAACCTCCTCCAAATTTTGCCAACTCTCCCCATTAACGTCCTTTTATTGGTTCAAGACCTTGTGTTACAGATACTGGTCATGTCTCCTCCAACCTGGCGCAGTTTGCCTCTCATGACCCTGGCACTTGAAGAGGACTGGCCATTTGTTTTGTAGAATGTCCCTCAATCTGGGTTTGCCTAATGCTTCCTCCTGACTAAATCCAGACTGTGCATTTGGCAAGCCTACCACAGAAGTGACAACACTGCACCCTCCCTGGTGCATTCTACCAGGAGGCATACGATGTGCATGTTCCATTAGGGATCCTGTTAATTCTGATCACTTGGTCAAGGCCATCTATGAGGTTTCCCAAGGAAAAATTACTATTTTTCCCTTTGTAAGTAATGAGAATCATTGGGGGATAAACTTTGAGACTATGTAAACATTCTGTTTCTCATCAAACTTGCACCCACGAATTTTAGCACCCATTTATAACTCCTGCCTGCAACAATTACTACCTCCCAAATGGTGGCCATTGAGTTTCTTGAGACCTCCCCAGCCCAGGTGGATCACCACGGAGGAATGTGCTTTTATGGAAGAAGGCAGCTTGGGAAACAACAAATGATATGGTTGTATATCTGGGATAAAAACAGAGTTATTTATGAATAAACTAACCTCTTCCTCCTTTTTACTGATCTAGCTTGGGGGCTCCTGCTCACTTCTCATTTAAATAACAAATCACATCCTACAAATAAATCAAATTATATTTGTAATCTCTAGAATCCCAAAACATGAAGAAGAAATTTTATAAACTGATCACCTCTGAAAATGTTTTAATACTTCTCTCCATGACACACACAAAAAAATTGATATTGGGTCCAAAAATAAACCACACAGTAGTAAAACATAAAACACTGTCAACAGAATGCAAGGTTACAGATCAATTACTCTTGTCAACAACCAAAATCAAATATTGAATCCAAATCCCATCGCCTCTTTTAATTACAAAGGTTTGAGTTGCTGAAATCTTCACAATTAAAATATTTGGAATCTCTGTTTCAACAAAACCCCACCCCAAACCACTGTATAACGGATGTATACATCACAAAGAGCTTATTCTAATCCAGCCATACTACGTCATGATATTGTTGCCTTTTTGAACTTAGCTGGCAGTACCAGCAACCAAACAACAATCTGTGTGATGAGCACGAGTTTTTTCTTTGTCACTCCTCCCGCAATCTACTTTCCACACACGAAATGAAGCCAAGCTGACTTGAAATTTAGAAAGTGACTACACTCACAACGGGAGCTTCTCAATGTTTGCTTACTCCAGCCAACTCTGTGTAAGATGTACAAATATCACAAAAGGCCCTGTTCATTGTGTCCTCAATATCTAGAATTTTCCACCCAATTCTGAAGGATAAATTCTAACACCAACGTTGATGAAGTCGAGTATGACTGGAGAATAACAGCATTCAGGAGGTGGAGGGGTTTCAACACTCTACCAGTGAAAGAAGTGGCCATGCCTGAAGCTAGAGCGGGCAAAATGAGAGGAAGACAGGCTGCCCGGCCTCCCAGCTGAAGGGACTCACACCTGGCAGGGAGCTGATTTGTTTTAGGTCGCATCCAGGGCTGCATTCAGTAAGATCTACTGGAGAAAGTTACCAGAAGTGGGGTATCTCTTTATTTTGTTGTTACTGTTTTGAGATGAAGTCTTGCTCTGTCGCCCAGGCTGGAGTGCAGTGGCGAAATCTTGGCTCACGGCAACCTCCGCCTCCAGCGTTCAAGCAATTCTCCTGCCTCAGCCTCCAGAGTAGCTGGGGCTACAGGCACCCACCACCATGCCCAATTAATTTTTGTATTTTTAGCAGAGACAGGGTTTCATCATGTTGGCCAGGCTGTCTCGAATGTCCAACCTCAGCTGATCTGCCTACCTCAGCCTCTCAAAGTGCTGGGATCACAGAAAGTGGGTTATTTCTTTAGTATAAGAATAATTAACACTGCTTCAAGAGACAGACAGTTCACCTAGCAGTGGAATGCCTAGGGGGAGAGCAGAAAGCACCTGCTGGGAACTGGCATAAGCAATGTGAAGCTGCCTCGGATTTATTATTCAACTCTCTTCACTGAAAACAAAGAGCAGTGAGCCTTCAGCGAGTTGCACTGGACATCCCTATCAGTGCCGCTTGTGGACCACTGGAGGCTCAGGCGCCATCTCCCTCAACACAGCCTCTCCACTCCCTTGTACCCCACATACCTACACCTAGATAACGTCATTCTCCCCAGCAACTCTGCTTGCTCAAGGCCCACCCACAAGAGAAAGGCTCAGATCACATTTTATTTCCCTCAAGCATCCTTCTATGAGAACCCTATACAGAAGTGATTTCCTTTCCCAATTCCTACACAAAGCCCAAACTGTTTCTATTGCTTATGTAGGACCACTCGGTTTGTCTCATGATAGAATAAACTTGTACATGTCATTTCGCCTAGACTGTTAGCTTCTGAAGGAGAAAGTGATATTTGTTTATGGGAACATCCAACACAAGGCCTTTTCCTTATTCTGCAAATATTTCTTAAGCTGTTCAGGTGACCTGGCCTCTACCTCTATCTCCAATTACATCTTATACTGCTCTTTCTTTCACCCACGTGGGACTGACCCAGGTACCCATGTTCCAGTCCCAGGGCTTTCGTACAGGACTCTCTGTCTTGGACTCTAGAGGCTAACTCCTATTCATTTATCCTCTCAGTTTAATCATGCGTCCCCTAGATACTATCTTAAACATCCTTATGTTACTCTCGAAGAAGTATTACAGAGAGAATAAAACCACTTCCACCACCATCCTCTCTAAAATCACGCCCAAAACAAAGAATACAAGGAACAAAAATTCCACATTCAATGAAACTTGGAGATATTCACAACTGAAACACATGACATTAAGACAGAAAATGCATCCACAGAATACAAGAAAAGACTGAAACTGAGTGGTACCAATTACCCCAAAAGGTAGAGGGTCAGGGGAGGTAGAAGAGGAAGGTTATTTGAAAAGAGGAGACACCTCCTGTGTCCGATCCCACTCAGGACAGTTGGTAGTTACCTGTAACTCACAGTCCTTGGAGAAAACTTCTTTAAATGAAGAAAAAAGTTTGACAACCCCGTTCTATTAGAATCTTCCACCCACATAAACAACTGGTTGAGAACAGAGGGGTTTCCGAGCAATATGGCCACTGAACCACAACTAGTATATTTCACAATCATAGGACCTTCTGAATATGAAGACTCTGACGTGTAAATTCGGTCATTTCAAACTGTTATATACTGGGATAGCAGAACTCAGAGAATACACTCAATAAAAATTGTCCACTTTCACTATAAGAAAGCTTAAATCTAGCTTGGTACAGTCGTGTGTGCCTGCAGTCCAGCTACTCAGGAGGCTGGGATGGGAGGATTGCTGGAGTCCAGGAGTTCAAGACCAGCCTGGGGCAACACTGCAAGACCCTATCTCTATAAAAATTTACAAGGAAGTAGAAAAAAAGTTTAAACCTGGCCAAAGAATACTGACCCATTTGTGGAGGTTTTTCTGGGAAGTATATATATTTCATATCCCACATCCACAGAGTAATATATATTCATTTTAATCATGGCATACTCAAATAACTTCAAGGTATTCTATATAAAGAGATTATTAGAATGCATTATTGGGCTGAGGCCCTGGGCCAGGAATCTGGCCTTGGGTCACAGGCCAAAAAAAAAAAAAAGGACAGATTACTCAGATATTCTTAGACTACAAGCAAAGAAAGCTTATTATTTTGATTTCTCTATTTGTGGTTTTCCATTTAATAAATCCATATTTTCCATTGTGTTTCTTGATCAGATTAACATGACTGAATTTCTCCTTGATTAGACTGATCTGGGGAAAGTGTTCACTGAATATGAAATGAACTAATTTCCCCCAGCCCTTCACCTTTTCTACACCTCTATCTCCAAACCAGACGCCACACATTCAAGGTCTACAGGCCCATCTGGGCATAGTGGTTCACACCTGTAATCTCAATATGTTGGGAGGCCAAGGCAGGAGGATCACTTCAGCCCAGAAGATGGAGGCTGTAATGAGCTATGACCATACCACTGCACTCTAGCCTGGGTGACAGAGCAAGGCTCCATCTTTAAAAAGAAAAAAACAGAGGCCAGGCATGGGGGCATGGGGGCATGGAGGCTCATGTCTGTAATCCCAGCACTTGGGGAGGCCAAGGTGGGAGGATCACTTCAGCTCAGGAGTTCCACACTAGCCTGGCCAACAGAGTGAGACCTCATCTCTACGAAAAAAATTTAAAAGAAAAAAAAATTAAAAACATATATGTGAAGTGCCTGGCACATGTATGTTGATGCATGCTTGATAAATGTTAGATGCCATCATTATTGTGATTCTGTCTCATGATGCAATGTTTGGGGTTAAGTCAGCCATTGGGTTGAGAGAAACTGAAATTTACTATAATTACTCCACAAACTGATTGCTTAGCAAATATTTCCTTAACTTGAATGAAAATTGCATTTCCAAAAGTTGCCCAACTATCTATTTCACTACTTCCAGGAGAATAAAGGGCTTAGTTAACTGACTGAAGATTGCGTTGTTTATCCTCGTCCCAAGCTATCATTTTCACCTTGAAATACCGCACAACCCTAACCCCCTTTTTCCTTCCGTCATTCATTCAGCAAATGTTTAAAGAGTCTGCTGTGCCAAGCACTAATCTAAGCCCTGGAGAGACAGCCTGAAAAAATGGGACAAAAATCTTGCCCTGAAAAACAGAATGAATGAATATGTTATACAATAGGTGCTAAGGAAAAAAATAAAGCAGGGAAGGTGGACAGCATGTGTGGAAGTGGAGGTGGGTGGAAATTTTAAACATGGTTGTCTAAAGAAGCCTTGCTGAACTGGCATTTGATGGTGACCAAGTGGAAGCAAGGGAGTGGGCCAGGTGGCTGGTGGGCCCAACACTGCTCTGCTTCACGCCCTCCTGAATCTACACGCACCTTCCTAGCTATGCTCTCACCCAAGCACGCATCTAAATCACACACTGACCTGTGTGTGGTGGTCATAATTTGGCCTCAAACTCCTCTTGGCTCCCAACTTCCTCCCAGATGAAATTCTAACTCCTTAAGCCAGCAAGTCTCTTCACAACACCGGAGACCCCCCCCCAGCCCTCCAGCCTCAATCTCCTACACCTGTGCTCATGCCACCACCGAGCTACTCAAGTCACTTCTGTCTTTCGGTTAGCAGGTGCCTCTCCCGCTGTTGGGCCTGGTGAGAGCTGACTTCTCCTTCAAAACAAAAGTGTCCTTCTCTGTCCCCTACTAGAGACTTCTAAGTCCCTTCGGTCTTTTCTAAGGAAGTATCACAGCTATATTGTCCTCTCTGTGACTGCGAGATCCCTGAGGATACAGAACGCGTTTCTTTCCTGTTGCCTGACATCGTCTGGTGGGCACTCAAAAATGCTTGCTGCACTTTGACATGAAATGACAAGCTTGTCTAAACCGTTCAGTCCCAATTTATGTTGTCCCAATGGCTGCTATAGTTCTCCCAGTGTCCTGATACTCAGCCAAAAAAAGTTTCAACAGAAGCATGAATACACCTTTTTATCCAAAGACTTGAATTCCGTTTATCAACTATTCAGAATATATCTGAATCAAAAACGAAAAAAATGCTTTCAGAGATGGTGAAAAACAGAATCCATGCCCTTCTCTAAAGAAGAGGCTAGGTGTACACTTAATGTAAGGTTACAGACCAGAAGAGGCTGGCTCATCTGCTTTTAACAATCTTAGAGTTTGAGGGAGTTTGACTTGACAGCTTACTAAGATGAAAGCCCACAGTTACTGCTCAAAAAATAAAGACAGAAAGGTGAACAAGGAAAGCATGGTAGGCAGTCTGGGGCAGACACTGAGTGAGGAGAGCCCTGAAGTGTTCATTTCAACATTTCCTGAGAGGCTGCAGAACAGGCACAAGTCCCTGCCCTCAAGGAGCTGACAATCCAGTCAGGCAAACATCTCAACATCAGAAAATCCTGTTTTTGCAGTTCATCATAAAAAGGAAGCTAAGCCATGATAACTCTGTTAACTTCTTCTGATGACAGGGAAATAGGATCTTAGAAAGCTTTACAAATCAAAATTAAATAAAAATAAAAATTAGTTGAAATGACCCAAAAAGTACCCTTTTTGGTGCTTAATGAGGTTACTCATCGGTATCACAGAATACTGACTCCCCTAGCATATCACCTATCTGGTATAGGATTGAAGTAGTGCTATTTAAAAATATTTGCATATATACTATTGGCAATTACTTCTAAGGTATAATAAAGAGGTAACAGTCTAAACTTCATATGGAATAATGCTGCATCATAGTCACAAAAGAAGATAAAACTGTTACATGTGTATAAATGAAATGAGATCTGGGGTCCCTGGTTGGGCCTCAGTGGGTCTGTGAGTCCTTGCTACTGCGTTTTGGTTTTTTTCTGGGCAAAGCAGTTACAGCTTTCTGATTCTTAAGAGTCTAGAGTCTACAACCCAAAAAAGCTTAAGAAACAATATTGCTAGAGACAATTCATGAAGAGCTATAAGACTCCGTGTTCTGGGTCAGCAGTGGCTTGGGAGAGACTGAATATTCAAACAGACAAAGGCCAGACCGCATTGGACCAGAGCTCTGATTCACAACCTCAGCCACTGGCCCATGAGGGTTAGACATTGACTCTCAGCTCCGTTATTTTGTGCCCCTGCTTGCAACTCTGAATTAGGGAGAGAAAGTCAAATATGTTCCCTTTCAACAATCACCTGCGACAACAACTTCTATTAGTCTGCTTCCAGCTCCTCCAGTCCACAGTCTCCTCTCGGAGAATCCTCAACACCCTCCTTTTCTCCACTAAAGTTTCCCATGCCTCCACCTGCCTCTGGGCACCTGCCAGACGCAAGTGATGGTGGCCGGCTCCCTTGCTGGAGTGCACTCTGGTTAAACAGTCTCTGTTCTCATGTGCATGGTCTTAGTTTATTTCCATAGGCCCATTATGTAACACCTTAGATAAGAAATAGAACCTCTGACAACTAAATGGAAATGTAAGACACCAACAGAATAGTAACATTAACTTGCAAGTGTATGTTTCTACAATAAGGTAACTTCAAAAGACACCTAAAAGGAACTGCCGAAGGAGGAATAAAGCCAGGCGAGAGGTACCACTGGGAGCTGAGAGTTTGGATAGAGAAGGTGCCATGGGCAGTAGTACCCAGGCTACAGAAAGAACAGGCTCATGAGGGCAAGAAGGCTCCCTACATCTGTGTCTCTCCGTCCTGATCTGGACTCAGCCACATGTCATTTATTCTCTGCAGCTCACATAGCCATCTAAACTACCTAAGCCTCAGAAATCCAAGGAACAAGCTCCTCCTACCATCCTACAGTGGCCTGAGTGTCCAATCACAAAGGCCAGTGAAATGGGAGGTTAGCACAGCGGGCCTGGGTCTCTAGCTCCCAAAGACCCATTCTAAGAGCTGCTTTAATTAGTCATTGAGTTCATCTCCTGTGATTCTGTGTGATCATTCCTGACTCTCCTCTCCAGGCAGGGTGTGACTAAGCATATCTGTGTGACAGTCTCTTCAGGTGCTTCTGTTGCCTCACAGCTAACCAATGGGAAGTGGCACAAGCTTTGGGCACACAGCCAAATGGTGAGCATCAAGTACACTCAGAACTAGCAGCTAGGGCACAAAAAGATGGAGGCTGATCACTTAAAGGATCACTGGCTGGATGTGGTGGCTCATGCCTGTAATCCCAACACTTTGGGAAGCTGAGTTGAGAGGATCACTTGAGCCCAGGAGTTGAAGACTAGCCTGGGCAACAAAGTGACACCCCATCTCTATAAAAGAAAAAAAATAATTAGCTGGTATGGCGACGCATACATCTGTATTCTCAGCTACTCAGGAGATTGAGGCAGGAGGATCACTTGAGCCCAGGAGGTTGAGGGTGCAGTGAGCCATGATTGCACGACCACACTCCAGCTTAGGCAACAGAGCCAGACCCCGTCTCAAAAAAAAAAAAAAAAAAGAAAAAAAGAAAGAAAAAAGGATCCTTGATCTGCCCCATGAGAGCAGGGAAGTGGTGCAAAGAGTAGTCAGACTACCATGGATCAAGAAAGGAATGGGAAATGTAATTAAAGACAGAGGGTAAGGGATGGGAGGAGATGGAATCTAAAAATATCTTAAATGGTTGTAAAAGTTCAAAGGATTGACATTCAGTATACCTTTATATAAACTGCCCAGAACACTTGAATTCCAGATGCCTTTCCAGAGCACACAGACAGTCCTACAGATCTACCGACCAGAGACAGCGCTACAGGCTTCACTGTTTCTAGAAGATGGAAGAGCTGACTGTCCAGACACATCAGCAGGAGTGTGTTCTGACCCTTTTCCAGGTGAGATCACACCCAGACACACCCAGTGCCACTTCCTTCCAGCCTTATTGCCCCCAAATCATTCGACCAAGAAAGCATCTTCTTCCCAAGAATTTATAGCACTCCATTTTCCGTTTTGTTTGATAGAAACAAAAAGTGTATGGCAGAAGACATTTGTTTCAATATGAGAACCAACAAGGAAATATTTGGTCCTAAGATATTAAGATGGGATCCTGAGACTTTTTATTTCCATGGTGATTCAAAATAAAATAACATGAATGACCTTTTTCCTAGTACTTTAACTTTTAGCCAAATTTCTTTAACCCGTCTTTTAAATGAGAAATACCAAAGAAGAACATTTCAGAGTTTTCATCAATGTATGAGCCACAAGTCGAGCAAAAACAGCACAAATGGGTTCAAGGATAACAGGGTTAATTTGTTTTCCCTTCAGCAAGTGACAGGCTAAACGCCGCTGCAGGAAAAGAGGTACCTGGTAAAGTGAGACCACCTGGCCAGGGCATGCAGGTTTGTGTCTGTCACAGAGGCACCTGACCCAGGGCAGAGTGGGGGCTAAAAAGCAGCCCCTGCCACAATGGCCAGGCAGGAAAGGGTCATAGCCAAGGAGCAGCACAAAGAAAAAGGCACCATGTGCTTTCCATAAGACGGAGCTCAGAAGTGGTGCCTTCTTCTAACTGGTCTGGCCGGAGGGGTCACCTTCCTCTCGTCTGCACAAAAGCACCATTTACAGGTAGGAGCCCTTTAATCTACTTTTTTATACATTAGAATGAATTCACATTTATCTTTAAAACAACATTGCTCTTGTTTGCATGTATTCTCATGTTCTATTTTGACTGAGAAATAACCTAAGCTACCAATAATTATGCACAGTTATAGGAGTACTATCGAAGTGCAACTGTCATGGATCTACACTGGAAACTTTGTTAGTGGATAGAATGAAATGCCATGTACAGTATACTCCGTATCTAACATGTGGACATAATATTTTATTCCCTTTTTCAAGAAATGTGACCCGATGTTTCTATAGACTCCTAATGTTTGCTAGAGCATTAATGGAAGGAAAATTAGTTCTTTGTGGTGGTGGTGGTCCGACCCAGAGGTTAAATCGTACATCCATTTGTAGATGTGTAAAGGAAATTTGGGGTGGTTCCAATACCTATCTGCCATAGGAAAAAGTATATTTCTCTGGGTTATAACTGCCTACAACAAAGAATCAAAATATTCATTTAATTTTTTTCACTGAAGTATTATCTACATTATCTCTTCTTGTCTATGTTCCTGACATAATTCCCCCCCCTTTGGTTCCTCTGCCTAACTTGTACCAAATTGCCCAAACAAAACTAAGAACTTTAAAAAAAAAAAACAAAAACAAAAACAAAAAAAAACAGGTAGGAGCGCTGTAGAGAGCACTGGCATCAGACAAGGCATTTACCATAAGTGCGAAGCCCCAGCCATGACAGAACTACTGCTGCTAGCTCTTCTGCCATAAACTGCAAGAAAACCAGACAAAAGACCTGAAGCAAATGTGTTCAGATGATGGACAACAGGCAGAGGTAAATGAGGGTCCCTGAGAGAAGGAGAACGAGGGAAGTGAGCCCTTTGATTGGCCAGGTTTTCTACCTATAGACACTTTCCAGACCATGGGCCAGGAGGGGGGAAACCAAGCCAGAGCCTGGTGGCCGGAACAGAGTTGCTGGGGATTAGAGACCTGAGAAGCTGAGGCAGCTGGAGTCTGCTGGCCAGGGAGAAGGAAGCAATGCAGAGGGAGAACTCCAGGAATCTGCTCTGGCGCCCTTTGATCTTTGGCTGAATAAATAGCACATGCAGGAGGTGAGACTCCAGCAAAACCACCATCGAGCAACTAGTACTGAAGAAGCTCCTGTAAGCTAGACAATTTCTAGCGCTCAGATGGGGTTTGGAGATGCGAGTTACAACCAGCCACAGAGGAAAGATCTCCTTAAACACCACTTGGCATCTGGTATAGTGCCCAGAATTGCTAATTGCTACAATTGCTAATTTCTAATTGCTTTGCTCTGTGATACATTTTTTTTTTTTGAGACAGAGTCTCGCTCTGTCGACAGCCAGGCTGGAGTGCAGTGGCGCAGGCTCAGCTATTTTTATATATATTTTTCGTTAGTCTATTTCCTCTAGGCACAGGCAAATCACCGATCTCGTCTTTTTTCTGGACATTTCATATAAACGAGATTATAAAATATGTAGTTTTTCTACCTGGTGTCTTTCAGTTAGCATGTTTTTGAGATTCATTCATGCACATGCAGCATGTTATCAGTACTTTATTCCTTTTTTATTGCTGCATAGTATTTTGTTTATCTACTTACCAAATGATAGGCATTTTGGCTGTTTGTAGTGTGAAGCTATTATAAACACTGCTGCTTCGAACACTCAAGAATAAGTCTTTATGTACACATTTATTTTTATTTATATTGAATAGCTACCTAAGAGTAGAGCTGTTGGGTCACATGTTACGTATGTTTATACCCAAAAGTGTATTTAACGTTTTAGGAAATGGTAAAACTGTTTTCCAAAGGGTATGTGCCACCTGACATTCCCATCAGCAAGACTGAGAGTCTGCTCTTCACTACACGCAGTGCAGCATCCATAGTCGTTTTCATTACAGACATTCAAGTGGGGGCGGAGGGCCTCTCACTGCAGTTTTGAACCTGCATTTCTCTAACAACCAGCGATGCTGAGGGTCTTCTAAAGATGTGTTTAGACTTCATTTTAGAAACAGAACAATTTTCTCAATTGAGTTTCTCTCCACATTAGACTATTACAAAGATTAGTTCCTGGGTCAGACACGGTGGCACACGCCTGTAATCCCAGCACTTTGCGAGGCCAAGGCAGGCAGATCACGAGGTCAGGAGTTCGAGACCAGACTGGCCAACATGATAAAACCCCATCTCTACTAAAAATATAAAAATTACCTGGGCATGGCGGCATGTGTCTGTAATCCCAGCTACTCAGAAGGCTGAGGCAGAACTGCCTGAACCCAGGAGGCAGAGGTTGCGGTGAGCCGAGATCATGCCATTGCACTCCAGCCTGGGTAACAGGAGCGAAACTCCGTCTCAAAAAAAAAAAAAAAATTAGCCAGGTGTGGTGACAGGCACCTGTAATCCCAGCTACTCAGGATGCTGAGGCAGGAGAATAGCTTGAACCTGGCAGGCAGAGGTTGCAGTGAGCCAAGACTGCACAACTGCACTCCAGCCTGGGCAACAGAGCAAAACTCCGTCACAAAAAAATTAAATTTAAAAATAAAAAAATAATAAACATAGAAAAGGTACAGTACAAATATGAAAGATTTTTAAAATGATACAGCTGTCTAGGGCACTTACCATGAATGCAGTTTGCAGGGCTGGCTGCTGCACTGGGTGAGTTAGTGGGTGAGTGGTGAGTGAATGTGAAGGCCTCGGTCATGACCATACACTACTGTAGACTTCACTGACAATGTGCACTTAGGCTACAGTAGACTTATTCTCAAAAATGTTTCCTTCTTCAATAAACTAACCAACCTTAGCTTACTGTAATTTTTTTACTTTATAAAGTTTAACTTTTTTAACTTGATTCTTGTAATAACAGTCGGCTTAAAATACAAACATGATACATCTACACAAAAATATTTTCTTTATATCCTTACTCTAGAAGTTTTATATTTTTAAAACTTTAAAAAAAAAAAAAACATTTTAGACTTAAAAAAAGAAAACTCAAACACACACATTAGCCCAGCCCCACACAGGGTCAGGATCATCAGTATCACTATCTTCCACCTCCACAACTTGTCCCACCCGAAGGTCTTCAGGGGCAGTAACAGGCATGGAGCTGTCATCTCCGGAGATAACAATGCCATCTTTTGTAGTAAGCCCAGGAAGACCTGGGGCTGTTTTACAATTAACCTTTTTAAAAATAGGTAGAGGCCGGGCGCGGTGGCTCAAGCCTGTAATCCCAGCACTGTGGGAGGCCGAGGAGGGTGGATCACGAGGTCAAGAGATCGAGACCATCCTGGTCAACATGGTGAAACTCCGTCTCTACTAAAAATACAAAAAAATTAGCTGGGCATGGTGGTGCGTGCCTGTAATCCCAGCTACTCAGGAGGCTGAGGCAGGAGAATTGCCTGAACCCGGGAGGCGGAGGTTGTGGTGAGCCGAGATCGCGCCATTGCACTCCAGCCTGGGTAACAAGAGAGAAACTCCGTCTCAAAAAAAAAAAAAATAGGTAGAAGCCAAATACACTAAAATAATGATAAGAAGTCTAGTATAGTAAACACAGAAGCCAGTAAGAGTCATTTAAGATTATCAAGTATTACATACCAGGCATAACTGCACGTGCTAGACTTCTATACCACTGGTGGTGCAAGTTTGCTTACACCAGGCTCACCATAAACATGTGAGTAACGCACTGCGCTACAAGTTT